ATCAGCTACATTAATTATCCTAGCCTGCTGCATAAGTTTTCCTACACTGCTAAGAAAAATTCACTTCAGTATCGAAGTGGCGGGAATATAGTGTTTCCCTTCCCTTGATAGTAGTAGCTAGCTGGCAGCCTGGCTACCTGGCTTTAGCCTGGCTAAAAATATAGCAAGCTATCTAGCCTTATTAGCTTCCCACATCTCCATGTGAAATAATCAGATTTATAATAAAAAAAGAAGCCCTGGCAAATATCCTTATAGTTGCTGGTGTAACCTAAAACATTATCCTAGTTTGATATGCTGCTTGTGTATTAATTCCCATATCAGCTACAAATAGAACGTCATCATGTTTTGGTCACGGAGAAAGAAACACATGGCTTGCTAGTTGGCTACAGCAGGATCTACCATTTCACAATAGCCTGGAATCATTCGTTTTTACGTCTAAAAAAATACCTTTTGGGGTGGATTCTTGTTGTTTGGTTTACAGTTTGAACAGTCGCTGAGATTATATTTGGTTATCAATGCAAAATAGACTACTTTGATGAATGGCCTATATAGCCTATAGATCAGATCAAGGAACGAAGCGACAACACTGCCCCCACGGCTGTGGAAGGAATGATATGGCGAGTCTCAATTTTCAGGTAGTACAAAAGTGTGTTGAATTCTGGAGAGTATTACAAGGAGCCCCTTTTGTGACAAAAAACAACACTACTATGCTCCGAATCTTGCGTCTCCATAGAGCTTGTAGTAAACTTTATCTGGCTTTTGTTCCCCCTGAGGTAGTCTAACAGTCTGGGAAGTCTTACTAAGAACACAACTAAGCATTCTCTCATTCTCTCAGTAACCTAGAGAAAGTCCATGTTCTCGAACAGGAGGGGAAACCAACCATCTGAGTGAGAATACTAGTGGGATATACACATCAGATGAACTCCACAAAAGGGGGGCAGCATGTTTTTTCACTGTTGTCACAACTAGCGTGTTTTTACCTGTCTGAGGAAAGTATGGAACATGCAACGAATTAAGCTGAGGGGGGGGGGGGGGGGGGGGGGAGATGGCACTTTCCAAGCTCTGCGGTCTATGGCATGCTGACTAGACCGGGCACGCACATGTCTGTTGCTAGCTAATTTGTCATAGGATATTAACATTGGGTTGTTACTTTACCTGAAATGCACAAGATCCTTTTTTCTGAATCTTTGTAGAATTTTGACCCATTTTGAGTCACACAAAATCATATGTTCTCTACTCCAACAATTAATCCACAGATAAAAGGGGAAACATAGTTAGTTTCTAGTAATCTCTCCTCCTTCGGTCTTCTTCTTCTGTGGACTTTATATGGTGGTTGGCAACCAACTTTAAGGTGCATTACCACCACCAACTGGACTGGAGTGTGGACCTCAGTTCATCTTTCAATCACCCACGTGGGTATATGCTCCTAAAAATCAATGAGGAGATGGGATAGGAGGGACTTGCAGCGCGTCAAGCGTCAAAAATAGAACCAAGTTCTATTTTAGTGCCTGGCTACGCAAACACTCGTTGACGCGCATGGGCAGTTTGGATGAAATGATTGAATAACATGTATATGTACATTTATTTTGCATGTAACACGAGCGGTGTGGTCACCATGTCAGTTTGGCTCAGCTAGACTTGACGTACTTATTGCTCTGTATTTAATAGAAGTGTATTTACACACAGTTCTGTTCTATCATGTGTAAATCTAGGGCTCTATTCATAGACATTAAAACCAGTAGATAGTGATAGCGCTGACGTCATCTACGTATTCCTGAATGGGGCTGAATGGTACCAAAAAATCGCTAAGGATCATGGTGAAAGTGACCGTAACTAGCAAAGCATCATGGTCTGTGTAGTCGTTTTCATCCTGCCTGCAATAGTCAACCCAACGCTGCTGGGTGCACTTGCAAAGAGCGTGTATGAGGTCGCGAGCAGGCCCAGCTCCAGGATGACATGCCTGAGGGGGTATTTTAAATCTATGGGGGGTGCACAAAAAGTATTGCTTTAGAGCTCTAATAAAACAAGGTATATTGGTCCAACTGCTGTTCAAATGTACAAAAATGGATCTGAAATGTACACATCAACAACCGTTGTTTTATATAAAAACACAAGAACGATATGGGCCCTACTACGACATACAAGTGTATCCTTTTTTGCGCCTACCAACACTCACTATCAGCTCGACAGGATGAGCACAACTAGGCTATCAAAGATTCTTACAGGCTTCATAGCTGAAACTTCAATAATTATAGCTATTGGCTACATTTCTGTCGAATTAGTGACACAACGCAATGAGCGTAACCTACAGTAAGCCAAGCCGCCACTTCTCCAGTTGTGCAATACTTTCTGTGGGAGAGTTTTAGAAAAGCGAACTAAATCAAAACACACTACCAGTCAAAAGTTTGGACACACCTACTCATTCAAGGGTTTTTCTTTATTTTCACTGTTTTTTACATTGTAGAATAATAGTGAAGACATCAAAACTATGAAATAACACAATCATGTAGTAACCAAAAAAGTGTTAAACAATTCAAAATATGTTTTATTTTTGAGATTCTTCAATTAGCCACCCTTTGCCTTGATGACAGCTTTGCACACTCTTGGCATTCTCTCAACCAGCTTCATGAGGTAGTCACCTGGACTAGATATGGCATGTAGAAGCAAACCGGATGGACATCATGAAAATGATCAGAGAGGTTGAGGGTAGAGGAGGTTCAGGAGTAAAAACAAACCAAATATAATTATTGTCAAATTGACTGTGTCCATAAAATGTATATAGTATGTATAAGCTGGAAGTAGAGGCTTAAGCGTTGTTGTTCACTAGTTTTAATGAGGGAAATAAGTATTTGACCCCTCTGCAAAACATGACTTAGTACTTGGTGGCAAAACCCTTGTTGGCAATCACAGAAGTCAGACGTTTCTTGTAGTTGGCCACCAGGTTTGCACACATCTCAGGAGGGATTTTGTTCCACTCCTCTTTGCAGATCTTCTCCAAGTCATTAAGGCTTCGAGGCTGATGTTTGGCAACTCGAACCTTCAGCTCCCTTCACAGATTTTCTATGGGATTAAGGTCTGGAGACTGGCTAGGCCACTCCAGGACCTTAATGTGCTTCTTCTTGAGCCACTCCTTTGTTGCCTTGGCTGTGTGTTTTGGGTCATTGTCATGCTGGAATACCCATCCACGACCCATTTTCAATGCCCTGGCTGAGGGAAGGAGGTTCTCACCCAAGATTTGACGGTACATGGTCCCGTCCATCGTCCCTTTGATCCGGTGAAGTTGTCCTGTCCCCTTAGCAGAAAAACACCCCCAAAGCATAATGTTTCCACCTCCATGTTTGACGGTGGGGATGGTGTTCTTGGGGTCATAGGCAGCATTTCTCGTCCAAACACGGCGAGTTGAGTTGATGCCAAAGAGCTTGATTTTGGTCTCATCTGACCACAACACTTTCACCCAGTTCTCCTCTGAGTCATTCAGATGTTCATTGGCAAACTTCAGACGGCCCTGTGTATGTGCTTTCTTGAGCAGGGGGACCTTGCGGGCGCTGCAGGATTTCAGTCTTTCATGGCGTAGTGTGTTACCAATTGTTTTCTTGGTGACTATGGTCCCAGCTGCCTTGAGATCATTGACAAGATCCTCCCGTGTAGTTCTGGGTGGATGCTCGGTGAGCTCGGCATCGGTCTTGACATGGTGGTCCTCAGTTTTGCTCTTGGCAGTGCCCAGCCATTTTCGGATATCCATGCTGATCAAAGCTTAGCCAACTAGCTATAATTATTCAGTGCGCCATTACCAGAACTTAACAAAGATAGCTGTAGCTGTCTGCAAAAGTGAACAACGTTTTTCCCTCTCTGTGAGAAAACAACATGATCAATTTGACCCCGCCCTGGGATCCAATGAGCTTCCTAAACAAGGTAATGAAGGCAGTACATTATGACATTGCATGGCTAGGTGCCCAATCAGAATGCATTTTTTAATTACTAAGTATTATATACTAAATGTTACATTAATACATCCCCCCCCCCCCCCCCGGCATATAGCCTCTGTCCCGGTCTACTGGCAGGCCCAGCAGCACTACATTGGCAAAGGGCATAGTAATTCATATACCATTTGTTCTGTTTATGGGGAAACAAAAAATATCTTGATTTGTAGTGAACTTTGGGGATCGAACTTGATCGTAATAAACTAATTTTAGGGCCCAAAACGTCCGTCTAACAAATATTTGTTTGGACGTTCTGCCGATCGTAATTTACATAGGCTTTCTAGGGAAGACCACTGCTAGGGCTCATGGCTTTACTCTCCAGACCGGACACTGGGGGCCTGGCTCTATAGTGGAAGTTCAGCGTTACAGCGTAATTTAAATTTAAAGGAAGTGTTCCCGCATTAGAGGAGACTGCATTCACGGTAAACACTGCATATGTCTCTCTATCTGAAATTACCTTTTCATTTCTATTGCTCAATCTGTAACGCTTCAGCGATACAGTTTGAATAGAGCCCCTAGTCAAGCTACCTTTAGAGATTCTCTTGCCTGTAATATTAATATATCTGCAAGGTTACAGAAACACAGTAAGGACATGGGGACAGGAATCCAAACCAAGACATTTTCAATCAAAGTCAGTTACGGCAAAACCTTTTTTTCTTGTGCTTTGCAAAAACATGTTTGATGTATAAATTCATATGAAGATGAGTTTCTTCTTTGTTTGTTCCAGTGTTTTATTGATTAAATTGATCCAAATGTGAATTCTCACAGAGCAGTAGCCTGGAAACTGGTATTCATTTAACAAAGTGCCGGCTTTAGTTATGGATGGTACATGGAGGCAGGACAGCAGAGCTTTTAGCAAGCAACTTAACCCATCCCGGGACTTACTGTTTTAGACTCGTCAAATGTTTAGAACATGGATGACCTAGAAACTTTCCTGAGGGCCTATCTACTGAGGAGCCTAGACTAGTGTAGAGCGAACAGCTGGTTCCACAGAGAGGTCCAGAGATAAAGCATGAAGACATGGTGCAGGACAGGCTCTACGAATCAACGCTGCCATGGAGGGGGAGTGTTCCACCACCACCAAACGGCTTTCTGAGACATAGGGGTGAGTGTCGGTGGGGGGTGGCTGTGTGTGGCTGATGGGGGCGGCATGACTCATAACCACAGACATTCATCAGGGCAGGGGAAAAACCTTTAATTCTGCCACCCTCACTCATAAGTTTAGCCATTAGCCATTTGATCACTTATATTTACTTACAGTATATTTGATCACGCCATATTGTAGCTGGACAAGACTGTAGTTCCTTCTAATTTGAGATAGCCATACAGTCCCCATTGTGTCTTGTTAAGGCAAAAGTGATTGATGGTATCAGTAACATCATCCCACTGGCTTTTTGCACGGTTATCATGGACTTATTTGCTTTTGTTTGATCCAGTTCCCAGAATAAGAGTCTTTGTTTCTCCTTATCTGTTCCGAGTAGTCAGCACAGCACTGTAAATTCAGCCTATTTTATGCACTTTATCTTCTTCCAATATTGAGAATAAGATCCTGGTGAACCAAATATTCCAGGATGATATTTTTGTGTATAGTTTTTTGTCATAATTTTTTCATACTTTTGTAAAATGTTGGTCATGGTCTACGGCATCCATTTTAGAAAGTCAGATTTCAGTCAAAACTCTGCCTGTGGTTATTTAGCAGATGAGCTTATCTATAATTATCCGTTATCCCCACAGTGCCAAAGTGATGACATAGCCGACTGCTCAGTATGTTTCCTACCAGTCAGACCTATACAGCACATGTTTCACTGAAGAAAATATATAAATGGAAACATTTGAATAAATGGAAACATTTTAATGCTATAAAAGTAACATATTGTGAGAGCTGTTGGGCTGGTAGACATGTTTCACTGTCAGTCTGGCACTGACCAGTCTGTAAGTGTGTTCTTGTCAATGGGTTACCTATGAAGCTCAGGGGTGCCACCTGGTGTTTACAATGGTAACAGGTAGAGGATCTACATGTCACCTCTACTCCATGAACTTACAGTACTTAGCCCTTACGTTTTTTTTTGTCAATTATCATGATTACCTAGAAATGCTAATGTAGCTTACAGTACAGTTCAACCACTCTCCTTTCCCCTGCTTCTCTTCATCAGGTTTTGCTGTAAATGAGAATGTGTTCTTCTCAGTCAACTTACTTACCTGGTAGAATAGACGTTCAATAAATAAATAAGTAGATAAAAATATAAATCATAATGAATAGTATTTGGTTGCAACAGTGGATAAATTGTGTTAAAACATATGGGAACTTTTCTTGATATAGCCTACACTCTGCTGCCTTTGGAGTAGTTAAATTAGGTAAACCCATGAAGATTTGTTGTAAATTCAGACCCCTTGATTTATTCCACATTCTGTTACGGTACAGCCTTATTCTAAAATGGATTAAATAATATTTTTTCTTCATCAATCTACACACAATACACCATAATGAAAAAGTGAAAACAGGTTTTTAGAAATGTTTGCAAATGTATTAAAAATAAAAAACATAAATACCTCATTTACATAAGTATTCAGACCCTTTGCTCTGAGACTCGCATTGAGCTCAGGTGCATCCTGGACAACCATCTCTGCAGCACTCCACCAATCAGGCCTTTATGGTAGAGTGGCCAGACGGAAGCCACTCCTCAGTAAAAGGCACTTGACAGCCCGCTTGGAGTTTGCCAAAAGGCACCTAAAGGACTCAGACAGTGAAAAACAAGATTCTCTGGTCTGATGAAACCAAGATTGAACTCATCTCTCTAATATGCTCCTTCCCATCAAAGTTCCTTTTAGTTACTCACTTTGACTTTTTTTGATTTGATTTTGAATCAATTTGATTTTGAATTTTAAGGCTAGACAGATTATTAAAATTATACTTAAAATCAAAACGACACAAGAAATAAAATAAAAAGCCTCTGTATTAGTCTGACTATTAGACCTAAGAACCTGTGTGTGGAATAATGTGAATGTACGTCCTTTGAAGACTGAGAAAAATTTATTGGCGCACAGGGAACATGTCATTTTGAGAAAATGGCCGATAAAGATAGGCTAATGCAATTAAAATGTACTTTCTATAAATATGACAATTTATGTCACATTAATTAATCTCTTATTCATAAATCATTTCTAAACTGACAAATAAACATAAAATATACCTTTTACAAATACATCAGCACATTTAATACATTTGTTTCTAGCAATAGAGCATATGCTTTGAATACTGGTCTGTTGGGTAAATATGCAGTTTTGGGCAAATTCTCATATCACTTTGCTCAATTTGTCACATACCAGGCTTTTTGTATGGCTGTTGAAATGTGCAGAACATTAATCAGCTATGCCTGCCCCATGAGTAAGACCCTCTTTGAGTTGTTGCTGGTGCCGCTTTACTTTATTGACTGTGTCATGGGATCTGCGCCTACAGTCATGGTCAAAAGTTTTGAGAATGACACAAATATTGGTCTTCACAAAGTTTGCTGCTTCAGTGTTTTTAGATATGTTTTGTCAGATGTTACTATGGTATACTGAATTATAATTACAAGCATTCCATAAGGGTCAAAGGCTTTTATTGACAATTACATGAAGTTTATGCAAAGAGTCAATATTTGCAGTGTTGACCCTTCTTTTTCAAGACCTCTGCAATCCGCCCTGGCATGCTGTCAATTAACTTCTGGGCCACATCCTGACTGATGGCAGCCCATTCTTGCATAATCAATGCTTGGAGTTTGTCAGAATTTGTGGGTTTTTGTTTGTCCACCCGCCTCTTGAGGATTGACCACAAATTCTCAATGGGATTAAGGTCTGGGGAGTTTCCTGGCCATGGACCCAAAATGTCGATGTTTTGTTCCCGGAGCCACTTAGTTATCACTTTTGCCTTATGGAAAGGTGCTCCATCATGCTGGAAAAGGCATTGTTCGTCACCAAACTGTTCTTGGATGGTTGGGAGAAGTTGCTCTCGGAGGATGTGTTGGTACCATTCTTTATTCATGGCTGTGTTCTTAGGCAAAATTGTGAGTGAGCCCACTCCCTTGGCTGAGAAGCAACCCCACACATGAATGGTCTCAGGATGCTTTACTGTTGGCATGACACAGGACTGATGGTAGCGCTCACCTTGTCTTCTCCGGACAAGGTGTTTTCCGGATGCCCCAAACAATCGGAAAGGGGATTCATCAGAGAAAATGGCTTTACCCCAGTCCTCAGCAGTCCAATCCCTGTACCTTTTGCAGAATATCAGTCTGTCCCTGATGTTTTTCCTGGAGAGAAGTGGCTTCCTCGCTGCCCTTCTTGACACCAGGCCATCCTCCAAAAGTATTCGCCTCACTGTGCGTGTAGATGCACTCACACCTGCCTGCTGCAATTCCTGAGCAAGCTCTGCACTGGTGGTGCCCCGATCCCACAGCTTAATCAACTTTAGGAGACGGTCCTGGCGCTTGCTGGACTTTCTTGGGCACCCTGAAGCCTTCTTCACAACAATTGAACCTCTCTCCTTGAAGTTCTTGACGATCCGATAAATGGTTGATTTAGGTGCAATCTTACTAGCAGCAATATCCTTGCCTGTGAAGCCCTTTTCGTGCAAAGCAATGGTGACGGCACGTGTTTCCTTGCAGGTAACCATGGTTAACAGAGGAAGAACAATGATTTCAAGCACCACCCTCCTTTTAAAGCTTCCAGTCTGTTATTCTAACTCAATCAGCATGACAAAGTGATCTCCAGCCTTGTCCTCGTCAACACTCTCACCTGTGTTAATGAGAGAATCACTGACATGATGTCAGCTGGTCCTTTTGTGGCAAGGCTGAAATGCAGTGGAAATGTTTTTTTGGCGATTAAGTTCATTTTCATGGCAAAGAGGGACTTTGCAATTAATTGTAATTCATCTGATCACTCTTCATAACATTCTGGAGTATATGCAAATTGCCATCATAAAAACTGAGGCAGTAGACTTTGTGAAAATAAATATTTGTATCATTCTCAAAACTTTTGACCACGACTGTACGCTTGGCTCACTCCATTGAAGCAGCATCAGCTCTCACAACACGCCTCGCATCCTCCTCTCTGATTGCTTCCAGTGTCACCAAAGTGCTGTCAATCCACAATTTGTCCATCATATTTGATATAGCAGTGGCTCCCTCATTGGACGTGGCTACTGCCAATGCGGCTTTTGCCCACGAATACAGTTTTGGGGCATCGCGACCATATTAGAGTTCAGACTTTTATTTGCATTCTGGGTTCCTCCATGCTACATTCTTTTGATGAGGTTATCATTTGACATCCTATGACATACAGGTACCATTTTATGTGCAACTTCTCTACTCAAAAATGTATGGCCTCCATGGTTTTTGTGACTGGGTGGATCTTCACCATTTTCTAGGGCTCACTGGTGCCAGCACCAGTACACACACCTATCCCGTAGTTGGAAGTGAATCCTCGCTTGTGCCAAGTGCCATCAAAGGATACATGAATGTCTATGATGGCATCCTCATCCTCCTTCAGCAACTCTGCTATGTCTGGGTCTATATCTGCATATGCTCTTCTAATTAGCTTTACAGCACTCTCCATTGACTGAAGCCTTATCTGAATCTCTGCAACTAAAGTGGGTACTTATTATGTCTGTCGACATTACAGTAATAACTGCAGGATTAAATATCAGCATGTTACCCTATGTAAATATTAGCATATCAGCATGTATATACTTTATGTAAATCTAATTTGACACTGTAGACCTATGTGACAGTCTCATTGTATAGTTATGTTTTCCTATCTCTCTGTTTATTCACTTTGAATACATTTGATGGAGCAAGGAAATAAATATTATTTATACACAGCAAGTCACCTGACAATAATGGGCTACTCTCCCTTTTTATTTACCTGTCACTCTTCTGTCATGTCTCTGATATGAGCTGAGACACAAGGAAGGAATCCCTTTGATTATTTTCTTTAGAGCTGCATAGCCAAGTCCAAGTTCGTGGGCTAGAAAAACCATCCTCACATTTATATAAAATGCCACATATCCCCTGGAGCAATCCTGCAGCATGGAGGAAGTGTAAACACTCCTCCTAAATGCATCACGATCACCTTCACAGTGTGCACATTTTATCATGACAGAATTATAGAATCCCTGGTTGGTGGGGTCTACGTGATTTTCAGTCCAGTGTTTAGACACTTAGGGGCAAATCAAATCATGTACAAGTTGGTTTATTTGTGACATGTGGAATAAAAGCCCCTGTTGGCTGGCTGCTGTCTGGTTGATCTCAACTAATTTGCTAATTTTTTCTTTCATTCACTACTTTTCTCGCATTGGCTAACTGAGATCGCATATTTTTATTCAGTTTGCCGGAAAGGGCCATTAAATGCCAGTAATCAATCGGATGTCAGGAAATTACTAATCTTTCAGCACGAATCAGTACGTCTACAAAGGATATAGCCATGAATGGACAAGCTAACGATATGCTCCTGAAAACAAGCTTTGAATGATATGTGATTCAACATGGAGAGTTTTAAAAGTAGCGGTTGAAGTTCTACATGAAACATGCTAACAATAATTAAATGTATGCTAGGTGTAGTTGACAGAGATGGGATAAAATGATACAAATCAAGTATTTATATACATTATTGCCAATGTATTTGTACATTTTATGAAAGTATGGAAGTTATAGTTGCAAAATATCCCAAAATCTGAAAATTGACAGATGGAAACAAAATCACAATTTTTGCCTGTGGTGCCTGGCCTTAAGACCTCTTGATGTATCAAAAAAAGATATACAAACATTATTTGATGAAAACATTTATTTGGCCTTACTGCTAGTAGCCCATATAAACACATTGATTAACAGATTCAGTACATGGAACAACAGATAGTCCCAAAAGGAAGTTTGTTCTGATGTGTCTATCCTATATCTAAGAGATATAAGATCAGGAAACATTTGTTGTTGTTTTCTTACATGTATTTAACCCTTATTTTTGTCACTAAACAGTCTCCATATATACTTCCATAAATTTTTTCGACTAGTACCGGGGGACCATCAGATGAGTCTTGTGAGGTCTGTGTGTGTCCTACCTTTATCCAGAGGGGTCATATTACTGTGTAGGCCAAACGGTTCGGAAACTACAGACAGAAGTTGGCATATCAGCTGTACCGACTTCAGCTGATTCCAAAGCCGCTTGTGGGGTTTGTAAAGCAAAAACATGTTCGTGAGAGTCTCATCTTTCCATAGAGGGGTCATAATAGTTTGTAGGCCAAACTGTTCGGACGCTACAGACAAAACATTGTGAGAAGACGAATTTTCGGGATGTCTCATTGTCTGACAAACACAGCTCTAGCTCTGTCACCTTTCACCGCAGATGCAGAAGTGTTATATAGGTGGATGAGGTGGATTGAGATGCATCCAATGCAAAAAAACAGATATCTATCTTAAACTGATTGATTTTTATGGGTATTTTTCTTATTATGCTAATTCGATTTCCGCAAGGGCACGGACATCTACCTTATTTTTTTATTTATTATGTTTTTAGCTTTATCCTTTGAAAATAGGCAATATTCTGGAGATGAGCATGCGTCTCTTCAATATGTACCTATTGTTCCTCTTTTGTGCATTTAACTATATGTCGCAAGTAAAGCCTTGGGTGGCGAGTTGATACAATTCCAAGTCTGGAATGTTAAAATCTTTCCTTTTTATTTTATGACTTTTTTTTGCCCATATAAAGTCTGTTATAACCGAGTATACTTTTTAAAGAATGTTTTTGGTGGGGTAATTGCTATTAACGAGAATAAATATACAAACTTTGGGAACCATGCCATTCTGAAGAGGTTTATTCTACCTGTAAGATTTATGGGAATATTGTTCCAATTAATTAGATCTACTTTCATATTGTTGAGAAAAGGAATAAAGTTATCTTTATATGTTTGTTGTTTGTTGTCACTTATTAAGCATCCTAAGTATTTTATATTTTTTGTGGTCCACTTAAAAGATTGCTGTAGATCATGTTATTATTTTTATTTTTCCTGTTGCCATAATTTTTTTTTTTTACACATTAATTTTATATCCTGGCATTTGAGAGTATTCAGACAATATTTTTAGCAAGGGGGGCATTAAGTTTGACTTTCCATGGCTGACCTCTGATCTTTGTCTGACCTGTCCTGTCGGTCCCGCCTTCCGCAGGAGATGACGCGGGCTGTACGGTTGACGGCCAGGTGTACACCAACCGAGACATTTGGAAACCAGAGCCATGTCGGATCTGCGTGTGCGACAGCGGCTCCGTCCTGTGCGACGAGATCCAGTGCGATGAGCTGTCCAACTGTGAGAAGGTGACCATCCCCGAGGGCGAGTGCTGTCCCATCTGCCAGAACGAGGGCGGCTCAGACACCAGTGGCAACGGCAGACCCGGTGAGTGGTCGGAAAGCGTGACCCGAAATTTGCTATGACGAAAATAAGAATTAACTCCACTGACTCCATGACAATGAAGTCATTGTAGAATAGATACTTTTGTAACATGATTCTTTGTTCATGTCTGTTGTGTTCTGTCATTTTCAGATGGTGGCAGAGTCTACAGGGTAAGATTTAGTATGTCATTGTGATACATCTTTATAATACTGTATTACTAATTGGATTTAAACAATGGTGCAATGTCTGTCTTCTTGCTCTTCGTTTGTAGGGTCAGAAAGGAGAACCTGGAGAAGTACCACAGGTGACTGGGATCAGAGGTCGTCCTGGGCCTATGGTAAGCTTATAGTTCACTTTGTTTTCAAAGTCTATTATAAACTTAGTTTATGATATGGTGCTTTGTAGTGTTGATTTTGTAAAACTCTTTGAGTCGACACTAGATGGCAGAAGAGAACAGTTACCTTTAAATTGTCCTGAAAGAATTCCTGTGTAGTTCAACTGTACCTGACAGAGCATCAGGAATGACTTTACTCCATTTCCATAGTAATGATGTCATCATGGGATTTATGAAGGGACATTATTGTGTCTACACTATTGTGACTTTTTCATCCGTTCTTTTTGTCCTACAACAGGGGCCTCCCGGATCGCCAGGATTCAGAGGGGACCGAGGACAGAAAGGAAGACCTGTACGTTCCAAACATGACTCACAGAGCAAATACATTATGCTGTAGCAATGCTTGAGTTCTGTACTGTATAATTATTTACATTGGCACATTGACAAAAATACAGTGCGTTTTGATTCAAACTGGATCTTTGCCAAATCTCAAATCCTTTATCATTCCTTGTCCTGGGACTAAACCAACAGTGTGATCACCCATCCCTTTTATGTGACAGCCCCTCAGAAGTAGTATGATCCATGTGGACCCACCTGTGCAGTCAACACAGTGATTGTCTTTTAAAAACAGAATGTCACGTAGATTGATTTGGGAAAGACGTTTGAGGTACAGTGCATTCGGAAAGTACTCAGACCCCTTGACTTGTTACATTACAGCCTTATCTAAAATAGATTTTTTAAAATCACATCAATACCCCATAATGACAAAGCGAAAACAGGTTTTTATAATTTTTTGCAAATTTATTTTAAAAAATCTAAACAGAAATACCTTATTTACATAAGTATTCAGTCCCTTTGCTATGAGACTCGAAATTGAGCTTAGGTGCATCCTGTTTCCATTGATCATCCTTGAGACGTTTTTACAACTTCATTGGAGTCCACCTGTGGTAAATTCAATTGATTGGACATGATTTGGAAAGACACACACTGTCTATATAAGGTCCCACAGTTGACGTAAAAATGTATGCACACATGACTGTAAGTCGCTTTGGATAAAAGTGTCTGCTAAATGGCATATTCATATTAATATTAATTGACAGTGCATGTCAGAGCAAAAACCAAGCCATGAGGTCGAAGGAATTGTCCGTAGAGCTCCGAGACATGTTTGTGTCAAGGCACAGATATGGGGAAGGGACCAAAACAAATATTTAGCATTGAAGGTCCCCAAGAACACAGTGGCCTCCATCATTCTTAAATGGAAGAAGTTTGGAACAACCAAAACTCTTCCTAGAGCTGGCCACCCGGCCAAACTGAGCAATCGGGGGAGAAGGGCCTTGGTCAGGGAGGTGACCAAGAACCCGATGGTCACTCTGACAGAGCTCTAGATATCCTCTGTGGAGATGATAGAACCTTCCAGAAGGACAACCATCTCTGCAGCACTCCACCAATCAGGCCTTTATGGTAGAGTGTCCAGACGGAAGCCACTACTCAGTAAAAGGTACATGACAGCCCGCTTGGAGTTTGCCAAAAGGCACCTAAAGGACTCTGACCATGAGAAACAAGATTCTCTGGTCTGATGAAACCAAGATTGAACTCTTTGACCTGAATGCCAAGCGTCATGTCTGGAGGAAACCTGGCATCATCGCTACGGTGAAGCATGGTGGTGGCAGCATCATGCTGTGGGGATGTTTTTCAGCGGCAGGGACTGGGAGACTAGTCAGGATCGAGGGAAAGATGAACGGAGCAAAGTACAGAGAGGTCCTTGATGAAAACCTGCTCCAGAGTGCTCAGGACCTCAGACTGGGGCGAAGGTTCACCTTCCAACAGGCCAACGACCCTAAGTACACAGCCAAGACAATGCAGGAGTGGCTTCGGGTCAAATCTCTGAATGTCCTTGAGTGGCCCAACCAGAGCCCGGACTTGAACCCGATCGAACATCTCTGGAGAGACCTGTGCAGCGACACTCCCCATCCAACTTGATAGAGCTTGAGAGGATCTGCGGAGAAGAATGGGAGAAACTCCCCAAATACAGGTGTGCCAAGCTTGTAACGTCATACCCAAGAAGACTCGAGGCTGTAATCACTGCGAAAGGTGCTTCAACAAAGTACTGAGTAAAGGCTCTGAATACTTACATAAATGTGATATTTCCGTATTTTTTTATTTATACATTTGCAAAAATTTATAAAAACCTGTTTTTGCTTCGTCATTATGGGGCATTGTGTGTAGATTGATGAGGGGAAAAAACTATTTAATCAATTTTAGAATAAGGCTGTAACATAACAAAATGTGGAAAAAGTCAAGGGGTCTGAATATATAATTAAGCAATAAGGCCCAATGGGGTGTGGTATATGGCCAATACACCACAAACCCCTGAGGTGCCTTATTGCTATTATAAACTGGTTACCAACGTAATTAGAGCAATAAAAATAAATGTTGTGTCATACCCGTGGTTATGATTGCCATTATAAACTGGGTGATTCGAGCCCTGAATGCTGATTGGCTGACATCCGTGGTATATCAGATCTGTGGTATATTTAAACATAAATGATTAATGTATATGCTCCTCTCATTGGAATGCTGATCCTATGGAGGGCATACATTAAGCAGAATCTTATTTAGCAGAACAACATTAGTCTTTATGATTTATGACATATGTCGCTTGTCTGCCTCTCATATTATGTTTAACACCCTTGATTCAATTCATCCGTTTTGTCAAGCATACGCTCTAATGATTTTTTTCTCATTTGTGGCCATTTTCATCATCCACCATCATTGCATATCAACTAGGAGACGTGCTTTAGAACAAGAAGGCAATATGAATGTATACACATATATTACTAAACCTAAATGGAGATCCGAACTCAAGTGTCACTGATATCAATACATGATTTGAGCAGAAATGTAGGTCGCACATCAAGTTATAATTTGGAACCTAATGAATGACACAGTGTGAACCTGAAATGTGTTGCGTAGTCCTGTTTATATTAACATGACATTATCTATTTGAAGGGGCTACGTGGACCAGCAGGATATGATGGAGAGCCTGGTGTGCCTGGAAATCCAGGAGAACCCGGACCTGCAGGAAACCAGGGTCCACCAGGGGTAAGTACCACAGTACCCACCCCTCATAAACAATGTATAATGTCAACTATATAATGTTTCTATAAATGTTTAATTGACTGTCAATAAACAAATTATAAAGTTTATTTGGTATCAACTCTAACTCTGCTGTTCCACTGTTACATGGACCTTTGCTGGCAAGATCTTCAGAAGTCGAGATCAGTCAAAATTTTGTCAATGACCACCCACCGATTCTATTGGATGCCACCAAAGGTTTTATTAAAAATAATGCAACTGCATTTGCATCTGGGTTGAATAAATCACAATTAAAGAAGATATCAGAATGAGAAATGTTGTTAACTGCATTAGAGCGTTCTCAACAAACACTATTTTCAGACCAGGTAGCTATTACTCTTTCCAAAACCAAGAAATAATTAAATGTATTAATAAGACAGAGAGCAGAATTTTCCATCCACTGAGTTAGACTAAACCATTACTTCCATGGGAATCATTCTAGTAATTTACTGGCCAATAAGCTACGCAGTAATGATCAATTAGCTGATATATAGAAGGATGCTGTAAACAATTCCATCGTCTAAGAGCCAAAATCCCTTCTCAAACACTCCCTTTCTGTGGACAGACTCCTTCATCACACCCAAGGCCCAGTCCCTGCTGTACCAACCTCCCGTTATGGTACTGCTCTTAACCTCCACCTCCCAGCTGTGTGTCGAAACCCTCAGAACCCAGAACCCCTTTGTAGAGATTGATCCTCTCTGGGTTGTCAGGTGGAGAAATCATCTCGTCTCCCTCGAAAGGGAGAGAGTCTCTGAGTCGAAACCTTGCCAGGTCATGATACATCAGCAGATCTGGGTTGGCAGTGTTGGGGTCCAGGGTCACAGGATAGTATTTCACAATCTCCTGCAACTTCTCCCAGACGCTGAACTGCAGGTTGCACAGGTGATTGACCATGTCTATTAGTGCTCCTGAGTTCAGCTGTGGACCTGGGAGTGGGGACTGGGATCTGGCCTTGTATAGAGTGGCCTTGTATCTCTGCAGGAAGGTGATGTGGTCACCTTTTAGACACTCTTCTACGGCTCTGATTTTAACTGAAAGACTTGAGATTATTTTGCTAATCTCTTCGGTCTTCTCCTTTATCATCCGAATCTTCTCCTTCTCTTCCTCCCTCAGAGCACGTATCCTGGCCTTCTCTTCTTCTAGTATACAGTGGGGGGGAAAAGTATTTAGTCAGCCACCAATTGTGCAAGTTCTCCCACTTAAAAAGATGAGAGAGGCCTGTAATTCTCATCATAGGTACACGTCAACTATGACAGATAAAATGAGAAAAAAAAATCCTGAAAATCACATTGTAGGATTTTTAATGAATTTATTTGCAAATTATGGTGGAAAATAAGTATTTGGTCAATAACAAAAGTTTCTCAATACTTTGTTATATACCCTTTGTTGGCAATGACACAGGTCAAACGTTATCTGTAAGTCTTCACAAGGTTTTCACACACTGTTGCTGGTATTTTGGCCCATTCCTCCATGCAGATCTCCTCTAGAGCAGTGATGTTTTGGGGCTGTCGCTGGGCAACACGGACTTTCAACTCCCTCCAAAGATTTTCTATGGGGTTGAGATCTGGAGACTGGCTAGGCCACTCCAGGACCTTGAAATGCTTCTTACGAAGCCACTCCTTCGTTGCCCGGGCGGTGTGTTTGGGATCATTGTCATGCTGAAAGACCGAGCCACGTTTCATCTTCAATGCCCTTGCTGATGGAAGGAGGTTTTCACTCAAAATCTCACGATACATGGCCCCATTCATTCTTTCCTTTACACGGATCAGTCATCCTGGTCCCTTTGCAGAAAAACAGCCCCAAAGCATGATGTTTCCACCCCCATGCTTCACAGTAGGTATGGTGTTCTTTTGATGCAACTCAGCATTCTTTGTCCTCCAAACACAACGAGTTGAGTTTTTACCAAAAAGTTCTATTTTGGTTTCATCTGACCATATGACATTCTCCCAATCCTCTTCTGGATCATCCAAATGCACTCTAGCAAACTTCAGACGGGCCTGGACATGTACTGGCTTAAGCAGGGGGACACGTCTGGCACTGCAGGATTTGAGTCCCTGGCGGCGTAGTGTGTTACTGATGGTAGGCTTTGTTACTTTGGTCCCAGCTCTCTGCAGGTCATTCACTAGGTCCCCCCGTGTGGTTCTGGGATTTTTGCTCACCGTTCTTGTGATCATTTTGACCCCACGGGGTGAGATCTTGCGTGGAGCCCCAGATCGAGGGAGATTATCAGTGGTCTTGTATGTCTTCCATTTCCTAATAATTGCTCCCACAGTTGATTTCTTCAAACCAAGCTGCTTACCTATTGTCTTCCCAGTCTGGTGCAGGTCTACAATTTTGTTTCTGGTGTCCTTTGACAGCTCTTTGGTCTTGGCCATAGTGGAGTTTGGAGTGTGACTGTTTGAGGTTGTGGACAGGTGTCTTTTATACTGATAACAAGTTCAAACAGGTGCCATTAATACAGGTAACGAGTGGAGGACAGAGGAGCCTCTTAAAGAAGAAGTTACAGGTCTGTGAGAGCCAGAAATCTTGCTTGTTTGTAGGTGACCAAATACTTATTTTCCATCATAATTTGCTAATAAATTCATAAAAGATCCTACAATGTGATTTTCTGGAAAAAAAATTCTCAATTTGTCTGTCGTAGTTGATGTGTACCTATGATGAAAATTACAGGCCTCTCTCATCTTTTTAAGTGGGAGAACTTGCACAATTGGTGGCTGACTAAATTCTTTTTTTCCCCACTGTAATTGTAAGAAAATCTTTCAAGTCTGTCCTGATCTGCATGTGTGTATGAACGACCTATGTCTTTATGTACTCTGCTGTTTGATCACAGGCTAGTTTAGCTTCAGAGAAGAGACTCAGCTTCTTCTTCAAGGGCTCCAGTTCAGCCTTTACTCTCTCCTTGTGATCCTGGACAATTTCATTTATGGGACAGAACTTGTATTCTTGAATCCCGACACACCAAACAGACAGGCTGTTGATCCTCCAAACAGAAAAGCTTGAGTTTCTCTTTGTGCAGAGTACAGAACCTCTCGGACCTGACTGCATCCATGTAGCTCCTGTGCTGTAGGAACCCCTCACACAGCCTCTTCAGGGTCAGGCTCACTGCTGGGAAAGGCATGGAGGAGATCTTCATGCAGACTGGACATTCCTGGTCATCCTTACATTTCCATAATTCCTCCAGGCAGGTTTTACAGGGCTGTGGATGCAACACAGAAACACAGGATCACTGAAGATGTCACAGCACACAGGACAGGATAAATAATCTTCTTGGAGGGACGATTCAGAAGCCATATGTCACTCAGACAGTCAGTTTCCTCCTCTCTGTAATGGCCTCAGCAAATAGCCAAACATGCCTTTCATAAAGAGATGCTCTGTTTTTTGACACCACACTCCAAAAAGCAAGTCCTGCAGGCTCTAGTTTTGTCTTATCTTGATTATTGTCCAGTCGTGTGGTCGAATGCTGCAAGGAAAGACCTAGTTAAGCTGCAGCTGACCCAGAACAGAGCGGCACGTCTTGGTCTTCATTGTAATCAGAGGGTTAATATAAATACTATGCATGCCAGTCTCTATTGGCTATGAGTTGAGGAGAGACTGACTGCATCACCTCTTCTTTTTATAAGAAACATTAATGTGTTGAAAATCCCATATTGTTTGCATAGTCACTTACACACAGCTCTGACACACACACTTACCCCACCAGACATGCCACCAGGGGTCTTTTCACAGTTGCCAAATCCAGAACAAATTCAAGAAAGCGTACAGTATTATATAGAGACATTATTGCATGGAACTCAGTTCCATCTCATATTGCTCAAATTAACATTAAACCTGGTTTAAAAAAATGGATAAACCAACACCTCACGGCACAACGCCTCTCCCCTATTTGACCTAGATAGTTTGTGTGTTTGTATTGATATGGAAGAGTAGCTGCTACTTTCACAACAACTAATGGGGATCCTAATAAAATACCAAATACCAGAGGTAGTATAATCAGCTTCAGTGGCAAGTCCAACAGCAGGTTCTACACTTATCACAAGTCTCTCTGGATCAGAGTAGATGGTGTCAGCTAAAGGACTAAACTGTAAAAGGCTATATCAAATTTATCCAGGAAAATCTGTAGTTCTTGACAATGAAGGATGAGGGGGTGGGGTAATTCCCTAACCATTGATTGGTCCTGGGGATTACCTGGCCGATGAGAGAACAAAGGTTACCTGACTAATGAGGCAGCAGTGATACCAGGTGTGAAGTAGAGGAGTGATGTGGGGGTAGGTGATAAAGGCCCACACAAGAGATGGGGTCGAAGTGGAGGCATGAATGACCCTAACCATAAAACATTAGCAGATTGATTATCTGGACATCATTTGGCCTATTGGGAAACATAGTATGGGGATAGGACAGCATACCTGGCCGTTAGCTGTCCCATTGAGATGCTGAGTGTTCTCTGAGTTGCAGATTGCATATCCAATACTCTAAATCACTGTTCTGTTTCTCCAGGGACTGGGAGCTCAGATGGCTGGAGGCTTTGGGGATGAGAAATCGGCCGGCCAAACAGCCATGGTGCCAGGATCTAGGGTAAGAAGGGTGCAGTGGTACCATCTTGGGTCTTTGCTATGGCTTGGATAATTTAACTTTTGTGATGTATCAGATGTTTTTATCTTAGTGATGTTGATGTATGTTTGGAACAACCATTTGTTGACTCCGTGGGGCCATACTTTTTACCAATAATGATTGTGAGTGCAATGATGTCATCTGTGTTTTAGGGGGAGGCAGGAGCAAGAGGACCTCCTGGGCCAAATGGAAACCCTGTAAGTTAAAAACAACCCATGAAGAACTAATTTCAAACAACTCTATTTGGAGCAAGCCTTTCACCAACCTCTCTCTCTCGCTCTCTCTCAGGGTCATGCTGGACCGCAAGGACCCCCTGGGGAAGTCGGTGATCCAGGCCACATGGTATGACAACATTCTCCTTGTCACATGTCATGTTTCTGGTCAGGTGTTCCCTGTTTGTTGCAACAATTTTCAACAATGTTTATAAAGAATAGCACCTTGAATCATGTTGGCACCACAGTAGTCACATGCATCTTCTCAAACACAAACAACACAAAACTGACAGACTATAGAATGTCTGAAGGCATATGTTGTTGTGGACACAATTTCTGTGCAACTGTTTATGTTTACCATTTAATCTCCTGGTAACACTTTTCATAAAGCACACAGGTATAATACATTATGATGCAGTTATGATGCACTGTAGGGCTAGTCATAAGCATGTATAACCCCCTTATATAATGCCTTATCATTATCTTCTGTTGTAGGGTCCACCTGGACAAAGGGGACCTGAAGGGCCACCGGGAAAGCCGGGTGAAGACGTGAGTAAAAGATCATCTCTGTTCACCCGAAGTACTGATGCCACCCTGCATATCAAAGACATGGTTTTAGTGGGCTAGTGGTAATGTCAGTTGCCTCATGAGTTTGTTGTGTTGTGGAGAATGTTTCCCAACAGAAACAATTTCAGAAGACATTAACATATTAGATAGGAAGTATACTAACCAGGAACATTTGAAATGAACACTATTAGTGTGTTCTCAAGCATGATGTGTAAGAAATATCATACTTTATACATAGTAAATGGCCATGTTACTAATTTATTATGATGTCATCCTAGGGAGAAGGAGGAAAATCAGGAAATTCGGGAGAGATGGGATTCCCTGGATCAGCGGTAAGTTATATATCAATGGAAGTGTTATACTTTAAATTATGACTAAAATGACTGCAATACTGTATTGAAACTGTACTAAAATACCATGTCATGTATTTCAGGGTGCTCGAGGATTTCCAGGGACACCTGGGCCTCCTGGATTGAAAGGCCATAGAGTAAGTATGACCCCCGACAAACATTCAAAGAACCTCACTGTGACCTCATGTGTCACACCATTATTGTCCACTAATGGAAAAATACACTTTGTTGTTTCAGGGTCACACAGGTCCAATGGGTCTAAGAGGCGAAACTGGAACTGTAGGATCCAAGGTACAAAATCTATTTGATGTTATAGCTACAACTGACTCACTCTGTTTTTATCATTCATATTGACATCATAGTCATTTCTTGTCATATGTCAGTAATATTCATATAGATATTAGATAGATGAGTGTATAATATGCACAAAATCTGAGAGAAATAAGCTTTTTGTGCATATGGAACATTTCTGGGATCTTTTATTTCAGCTCATGAAACATGGAACCAACACTTTACATGTTGTGTTTATATTTTTGTTCAGTATATATTAAGTATATGCATACTGTAGAGGTTTGTAAGGCATGTTTTGATGAATGCAATGTTTTTGTAAATGATCTCTTAGGGTGCATTAGGCCCCACTGGTCCGATTGGCACACCTGGCCCTATGGTAAGTGGAGAATATTTCAAATATACAGTATTGTGTACTAACAACTTATGCGGTCACTGACAAAATGGCATTTTATGCAAAGACCACTGAGATGAAGAGGCCAACTGTTATGTTGATTGCAATTTGCTATAGGTTGTTATCAATAACATTTTGCAATATGGTGCACAGCATTTGATTTGGCTGCTGGGAGGCAAGGAGACCCCAGCTCCGCTAAAGTAATTTACAACTATGTGCCGTTTATAAGGTTGTTGAATAAATGTTATAGCTATTTGGTTTTAATATTACCACCTCTTGAAGAGCATATAGTCAGAACTACACATTTCAGATTATTCCATGCAAAACAATTTAGCACATTTAGCACTATCATCAGAGTCTCCATGCCCCCCAGCAGGCAAATCGAACGCACTGAATCTTATTGTGACGTTTTATTGATAAGGACCTATTCTTTGGAAGACTCCTCTCCATCTGCACTGTTCACAAAAGATAAGATAGGTGAAAGCAAAATGGTGGATGCCTACCTGTCTAGATTCTTAGTGTAGTGCAGAAGAAAGAAAGGAGACAAGCATTGGAAGGCACTATATGGATACAGCCCATGATGAGGAGCTATGCCTCTACTGTACATTATCTTTGGCTAGATTTCTTTCAGCTGTCTAAAATAAACAGTGCAATATGCTTAACTAACAGGTATACTTAAATTCATAAATTATTTAATGAATAAATACATTGATGTTTCAAATAATGCAATTATAAATTCCTGTTAGCGGAGGCCTATTTGCACCTACTATTGGCCAAGCATTTTCAAATTTGAAATCTGACTTTCTGGTACTGCAGAAGACACTTTCTGATCTTAAGTTAATGCTAACAAAACAAAATGTATGCTGTTCTCTAGACTACATAATTTAAATCTAAATGACTGTACAATTACTAATCTAAATGGTATAGAAGTTGAACTTATTCCAAATATCTTGGTATAGGGCTAGATGACAAGTTGCCTTTCAAAACACATACACATCCCGGAGTCGCCTCTTCACTGTTGACGTTGAGACTGGTGTTTTGCGGGTACTATTTAATGAAGCTGCTAGTTGAGGACCTGTGAGGCACCTGTTTCTCAAACTAGACACTCTAAGGTATTTGTCCTCTTGCTCAGTTGTGCACCGGGGCCTCCCACTATTCTTTCTATTCTTGTTAGAGCCAGTTTGCGCTGTTCTGTGAAGGGAGTGATACACAGCGTTGTACGACATCTTCAGTTTCTTGGCAATTTCTCGCATGTAATAGCCTTAATTTCTCAGAACAATTATAGACTGACGAGTTTCAGAAGAAAGTTATTTGTTTCTGGCCATTTTGATCCTGTAATCGAACCCACAATTGCTGATGCTCCAGATACTCAACGAGTCTCAAGAAGGCCAGTTTTATTGCTTCTTTAATCAGCACAACAGTTTTCAGCTGTGCTAACATAATTGCAAAAGGGTTTTCTAATCATCAATTAGCCTTTTAAAATGATAAACTAGGATTAGCAAACACAACGTGCAATTGGAACACAGGACTGATGGTTGCTGATAGTGGGCCTCTGTACGCCTATGTAGATATTCCAATAAAAATCAGCCATTTCCAGCTACAATAGCCATTTACAACATTAACAATGTCTACACTGTATTTCTGATAAATTTGATGTTACCTTTCTTTCGAAAACAAGGACATTTCTAAGTGACCCCAAACTTTTGAACGGTAGTGTATATATATATTTTTAATCCATTTAAAATAAGTCTGTAACGTAACAAAATGTGGAAAAGGTCAAGGGGTCTGAATACTTTCCGAATGCACTGTATATGTGTTTTTTTCTTTGTATTGAAAACAGGTCTCTACTCCAAATGAGACTTTGGTCTCAGTTGATCCCCTGTATAAATAAAAGTATAATAATAACATGGAACTGTTTACAAATAGCATTGCTTCATGATTGTTCTGGAGCAGCTTTTGGACCTATTTGCAGGGCTATTCCTAGTGTATCAACTCCCTGCCAATTAACAACTCCTATTTTCAACTTTTACTTTAATGGTCACTTTTTCCTTACATTTATATGTTTATTGCTTAATGGTAATTTTGTCCTTACATTTATATGTTTATTGCTCTGCCACTGTAAAAGTAATCATGATTAATTGCTCCGTTTAGGGCCCTAGAGGCATGCCTGGGGAGAGAGGTCGCTTAGGAGCAAATGGAGTACCGGTAAGAATGAGAACCTAAAGTTGAGGGGGGGGGTTAGAATTTTAGGACCACTTTAGGTATATACAGTGTGTATATATATATATATATATATATATATATATATATATATATATATATATATATACACAGCTGAAGTCGGAAGTTTACATACACTTAGGTTGGAGTCATTAAAACTCGTTTTTCAACCACTCCACACATTTCTTGTTAACAAACTATAGTTTTGGCAATCAGTTAGGACATCTACTTTGTGCATGACACAAGTAATTTTTCCAACAATTGTTTACAGACAGATTATTTCACTTATAATTCACTGTATCACAATTCCAGTGGGTCAGAAGTTTACATACACTACGTTGACGGTGCCTTTAAACAGCTTGGAAGATTCCAGAAAATGATGTAATGGCTTTAGAAGCTTCTGACAGGCTAATTGACATCATTTGAGTCAATTGGAGGTCTAACTGTGGTTATATTTCAAGGCCTACCTTCAAACTCAGTGCCTCTTTGCTTGACATCATGGGAAAATCAAAAGAAATCAGCCAAGACCTCAGAAGAAAAATTGTAGACCTCCACAAGTCTGGTTCATCCTTGGGAGCAATTCCCAAATGCCTGAAGGTACCACGTTCATCTGTACAAACAATAGTATGCAAGTATAAACACCATGGGACCACGCAGCCGTCATACCGCTCAGGAAGGAGACACGTTCTGTCTCCTAGAGATGAACGTACTTTGGTGCAAAAATCAATCCCAGACCTTGTGAAGATGCTGGAGGAAACAGGTACAAAATAATCTACATCCACAGTAAAACGAGTCCTATATCAACATAACCTGAAAGGCCGCTCAGCAAGGAAGAAGCCACTGCTCCAAATCCGCCATAAAAAAGCCAGACTACGGTTTGCAACTGCACATGGGGACAAAGATCGTACTTTTTGGAGAAATATCCTCTGGTCTGATGAAACAAAAATAGAACTGTTTGGCCATAATGACCATTGTTATGTTTGGAGGAAAAAGGGGGTACCTTGCAAGCCGAAGAACACCATCCCAACCGTGAAGCATGGGGGTGGCAGCATCATGCTGTGGGGATGCTTTGCTGCAGGAGGGACTGGTGCACTTCACAAAATAGATGGCATCATGAGGAAGGAAAATTATGTGGATATATTGAAGCAACATCTCAAGACATCAGTCAGGAAGTTAAAGCTTGGTCGCAAATGGGTCTTCCAAATGGACAATGACCCCAAGCATACTTCCAAAGTTGAGGTAAAATGGCTTAAGGACAACAAAGTCAAGGTATTGGAGTGGCCATCACAAAGCCCTGACCTCAATCCTATAGAACATTTGTGGGCAGATCTGAAAAAGCGTGTGCGAGCAAGGAGGCCTACAAACCTGACTCAGTTACACTAACTTTGTCAGGAGGAATGGGCCAAAATTCATCCAACTTATTGTGGGAAGCTTGTGGAAGGCTACCCGAAACGTTTGACCCAAGTTAAACAATTAAAGGCAATGCTACCAAATACGAATTGAGTGTATGTAAACTTCTGACCCACTGGGAATGTGATGAAAGAAATAAAAGCTTAAATAAATAATTCTCTCTACTATTATTCTGACATTTCACATTCTTAAAATAAATTGGTGATCCTAACTGACCTAACTGTAGCTCGGCCACCTTCCAAAGCAGATGCGGAAGGCCAACATAGGCGGATGTGATGGATTGAGACGCAGCCCATGCAAAAAATATCTCTAACTTAAACTGATGGATTTTGATGGGGATTTTTTTATTATGTTACTTAGATCTTAAGGTTAATATCATTCTCAGTTGTATCACAAATTTTTATATACAATGGTATTTCATGTATTTGACTAGTGATACAAATTTCTGATGCATGTTTTTACAAGAATTGTAATTGTAGATTGTATTCTGTGTGAATCAATTTTATTTTTTATTTTTTGATCATAGGGTATGAAAGGTCCTCCTGGGAACATTGGTAAATCTGGTCCGACGGTAAGACAAGCATAGAATAAAAAAAAAAAGGGCCTGCAGTTGCTACTAATATATTACCGCTTTTCAGCTATTCATAAATTACATTTTCTGGTATTATACTTGCAGGGTCCATTAGGTATCAATGGTTCCCCAGGATATCCAGGAATTCCAGGAATGAAGGCAAGTAAACTATCAAGTAGAACATTAAGTATTCAATACATGTTCAAATCAATATGATTTAAATAGTAACTTCCGAGGCTTTATATGTAACAGTGTATACAGTATGTTGTAAATGCAACCTAATAACATACAGTATATAACTTGCTAATAAGGTAATGTAGGACTACTGTATGTACATAAAATGGACTCAAGGGGATTTCTGTTTCTATTCTCCAGGGCCAACCTGGTGCCACAGGAGCACGGGGCCCCGAGGGGCAACAGGGACAGAGGGGCGAGACAGGACACCAAGGCAGGGCAGGATCAACTGGCCAACAAGTAAGGGTCTCATTTATAACACCTACTCTCTTTGTTAAACATCATTGTGCTGTACTTTTCAATTTATGGCACAATGCATTTTAGTAATATGATATATTTGCTATATTTAGGGTCCTTCAGGAACAGACGGGGGCCCAGGTACCAAGGGTCCAGTGGTACGTATATTATCATTAATCTAGTACCCCTAATTTTCAATAAAATAATTAATGTTGTAAAACATAATTGTATTATCACATAGCATACCTAGATTCATACGATCAAGATTGATGTCTATTGAGAGATATTCCTGTTGTTTTGTAGGGCACTATGGGTGTGCAGGGTCCCGGGGGTCACCTCGGCCCCCATGGTCCACCCGGACCTCAGGGAAGCACTGGACAGCCTGGGATCAAAGGTCAACTGGTAATGTGGCGTCCGTTTACTTTGGATATAAGTAATTTTCTGCTCATGGGAGGTCCATTCATTCATGTACCGTATAGATGTATACATACACTGTCAATGTAATGACTTGCATACATGCCTTTACCAAAGCACAGATAATATGGCCCAGAGCACCTAAGTAATGTACCATTAATGCAGCACAGTTGTTTGACTGATTGACAAGATGGGAATATTGTTTTTCATTTTATGATACATTATCTCAGGTGCAGAATACAATGTTACTATAGTGATCCAGTATATTTATGGCTCTCATCTTTGTTTCAGGGAGATGTTGGTGTACCTGGGTACAAAGGAGAGGCCGGACCCAAAGGAGAATCTGTAAGCCCAAATAATTTGTGACCATTCACAGAGAATATGTACAATATTCATGGTATTATGTACAGTACTTGTAATATTGTACAATACTTGGATGTCTACATTTTCATTATTTCCCATTGAAAGAAATTCAGACACTGTCATAGTTGGAGCAGAGTGTATTGAGTTGGTTAAACACATTTTAAATAAAGTTTGTTTTGATTATTAGGGTCCCCCTGGTTCTCAAGGAATAATCGGGCCCCAGGGGGAGGAGGGAAAGAGAGGAACTCGTGGTGACTCTGGCCTACTAGGACCACCCGGTCCTCTTGGTGAGAGGGTGAGTCTACCGTTGGCCTCTATTACTGAAAACTTCTAGATGATTAGGATTTAGGTCAGTGACTGTAACTTCTCAGGATGGATTTCAGCCACCATCTCAAATTTATCCCAGTTCATCCTCCAATTGATTTAACTGACATGGATATCCTCAACCCTGTGCAGAAAATATATTGTGTCATAGATGTAATCTTAGTATCGTATGTCTTCGTTTCATATATGGATGGGCATTTGTATTTCAGGGGTCTCCTGGTAACAGAGGTTTCCCTGGTGCTGATGGATTACCTGGACCTAAGGTACAGACAGAGATATATTACAGCTACATCGGTGGTCATTAGACTGGATTCTTAGGACTGGAGCCCCAGCCCAAACCTAATTCACAAATATGTTTCTCCTAAAGGGTGCTCAAGGAGATCGTGGACCTTCTGGCATATCTGGGCCTAAAGGTTCCGGAGGGGATCCCGGGCGCACTGGCGAGCCTGGCCTCCCAGGCGCACGGGTAATGTGAAGATATCATAAATAGCTTTCCAAGATTTTTGTCTTTGTTTCTGAAGCTCATACTTTTGTATGTTGTTTCGTAGGGTCTGACTGGCACTCCAGGAGTCCAGGGAGCAGAGGGCAAACCAGGACCACTGGTAAGTTTGACCAAAGAGTGTTTACACACATCCAACTTAGGTCAGAGCTGAACAAAAAAGAACAACTGTTGAGAAAAAGGTAATGCACTCAGTGATTGCCACAGCTACAACAAGTGTTCTTAAATCAATGCTTTCGGTGATGCACAAACAAGGTTTAGACCAACAGGCTATTTGTCAGGTGATCAGGTGATCGGAGAATACCTATTTTCGAGGTTTGACCATTGGTATCAGTATTAATGACACTGAATGAACAGTCAGAGGTAAGAGTTGTTTTCGTGCCCTCTGTCTGAAGGGTCCAGCAGGAGAAGATGGCCGCCCAGGACCAGCAGGGTCGATCGGAACAAGAGGTCCTGCAGGAACCATGGGCACACCTGGACCAAAGGGCTTTAACGTAAGGAACTTTAGATGTTCTAACCTTTTCAAGATGTCTTGCTATCAAACTTTTCCTTTCTCCTCATGACTACTTGAATGACTTCTTGTCTTTTCAACTCATAGGGAGACCCAGGGAAGACAGGCGAACAAGGATCTCTGGGAGTGGCAGGACAAAGAGTGAGTACGGATGTCAATGAGCCCTAAATGACCTCTGCCCTCATACGTGTTTATGGGGAAAATTGTGTTTATGAGGACGTTCACTAATGATGACTTCCTTTCTAGGGTCCTCCTGGGAAAGATGGGGAAGTTGGCCCTGCCGGTCCCACTGGCCCTCCGGTAAGTCAACTGTTTGTCTCTGATTGTCTTTATGACTCATATCTTGTACTGACATTTTGATACAGCATTTTCCTATCAGTCAATATTATGTAATGCCACTGCACATCTGATTTGTAAAGTATACTCTCTCACAACATACTCTTCATGTTCAACAAATGTTGATTCTCTCTTTGTCTGAAGGGTGTTGCAGGTGAAAGAGGAGAACAGGGACCACCTGGAGTGAATGGTTTCCAGGTAGGTTATTGTGGATTTTGTCATGGATGCATGGATGATGTTCACTAGCAACAGTTGATCACTGAAAGTGGAAACAAAGATTGTAACTCATAAGGGATGGTTAAATCAACTTGGCACTGTTGTCGTCATCTGAAGTGTATATGCTTTTGTATATTAGGGATTACCTGGACCCCCAGGCCCTCCTGGAGAGTCAGGAAAACCAGGTGATCTGGTGAGTTTCATGAACACTTGCACTATTTGAATTAGCTGAAGTATATATCTAATGAGATACATCATGTAGATCCTCTATTTTATGGGATGCAATACTCATTGTTTGATATCATGACGATGGAGTATTAATTTATTTATCTTGTTTAGGGTATCCCTGGAGAGGGAGGTGCTGTTGGCCAGATTGGACCAAGGGTACGTTGATCATCTTACTAATATCAATATACACTGCTCAAAAAAATAAAGGGAACACTTAAACAACACATCCTAGATCTGAATGAATTAAATAATCTTATTAAATACTTTTTTCTTTACATAGTTGAATGTGCTGACAACAAAATCACACAAAAATTATCAATGGAAATCAAATTTATCAACCCATGGAGGTCTGGATTTGGAGTCACACTCAAAATTAAAGTGGAAAACCACACTACAGGCTGATCCAACTTTGATGTAATGTCCTTAAAACAAGTCAAAATGAGGCTCAGTAGTGTGTGTGGCCTCCACGTGCCTGTATGACCTCCCTACAACGCCTGGGCATGCTCCTGATGAGGTGGCGGATGGTCTCCTGAGGGATCTCCTCCCAGACCTGGACTAAAGCATCCGCCAACTCCTGGACAGTCTGTGGTGCAACGTGGCGTTGGTGGATGGAGCGAGACATGATGTCCCAGATGTGCTCAATTGGATTCAGGTCTGGGGAACGGGCGGTCCATAGCATCAATGCCTTCCTCTTGCAGGAACTGCTGACACACTCCAGCCACATGAGGTCTAGCATTGTCTTGCATTAGGAGGAACCCAGGGCCAACCGCACCAGCATATGGTCTCACAAGGGGTCTGAGGATCTCATCTCGGTACCTAATGGCAGTCAGGCTACCTCTGGCGAGCACATGGAAAGAAGTCCTCTGGCGAGCACCCCCAAAGAAATGCCACCCCACACCATGACTGACCCACCGCCAAACCGGTCATGCTGGAGGATGTTGCAGGCAGCAGAACGTTCTCCACGGCGTCTCCAGACTCTGTCACGTCTGTCACATGTGCTCAGTGTGAACCTGCTTTCATCTGTGAAGAGCACAGGGCGCCAGTGGCGAATTTGCCAATCTTGGTGTTCTCTGGCAAATGCAAACGTCCTGCACGGTGTTGGGCTGTAAGCACAACCCCCACCTGTGGACGTCGGGCCCTCATACCACCCTCATGGAGTCTGTTTCTGACCGTTTGAGCAGACACATGCACATTTGTGGCCTGCTGGAGGTCATTTTGCAGGGCTCTGGCAGTGCTCCTCCTGCTCCTCCTTGCACAAAGGCGGAGGTAGCGGTCCTGCTGCTGGGTTGTTGCCCTCCTACGGCCTCCTCCACGTCTCCTGATGTACTGGCCTGTCTCCTGGTAGCGCCTCCATGCTCTGGACACTACGCTGACAGACACAGCAAACCTTCTTGCCACAGCTCGCATTGATGTGCCATCCTGGACGAGCTGCACTACCTGAGCCATTTGTGTGGGTTGTAGACTCCGTCTCATGCTACCACTAGAGTGAAAGCACCGCCAGCATTCAAAAGTGACCAAAACATCAGCCAGGAACCATAGGAACTGAGAAGTGGTCTGTGGTCACCACCTGCAGAACCACTTCTTTATTGGGGGTGTCTTGCTAATTGCCTATAATTTCCACCTGTTGTCTATTCCATTTGCACAACAGCATGTGAAATGTATTGTCAATCAGTGTTGCTTCATAAGTGGACAGTTTGATATCACAGAAGTGTGATTGACTTGGAGTTACATTGTGTTGTTTAAGTGTTCCCTTAATTTTTTTGAGCAGTGTATATTGGAAGATATTGCACATATATACAGTGTAGTATTGCAGCAGACACAACATGACTGACAGACGTTTTGTGTCTAACAGGGAGAGCGTGGAATCCCAGGGGAGAGAGGAGAACTCGGACCTCACGGTTTGGCTGGAGCCAAGGGAATCCCTGGAGCACCAGGACCCGATGGACCAAAGGTATTTGTTGTCCATGTATAGAGATATATAGTAATATGGAGCCACTATGGAATGTTATGTGTGTTGTATTTTTGAGTCTGAAAATACGAATATGAACCCATTGCTTTTTTTCTCCAAAGGGTAGTCCTGGTCCTACTGGTAGTCTTGGTGACCTAGGCCCTCCTGGTCTTCAGGGGATGCCTGGCGAGAGAGGAATCTCTGGTTCTCCTGGGCCTAAAGGTGACAGAGTAAGTATTCACACTGCATCATTAGCTTGCTTCTCATCCTTTCATATATTCCAGGGAGATGATGTATATCTATCTCAATGTCTTTGTTTCTGTCTGCTGTATTTGTATGATTGTTTTCTACTGTTGCTTTTGTGTAGACCCCAGGAAGTAGCTGTTGTTAAAATAACAAGTAGCTAATGGGGATTGAAGTAAACAATTGCATATATATGATAACACAATAAATAATATTAACCGTCAGATTTTCACGTAACATTCTTCATTATTTAGGGGTCTGGTGGAGAGAAGGGATCAGAAGGTACACCTGGAAATGATGGCGCAAGAGTGAGTCAAATTTACACGTGACTTCTTTCACTTCGATGTAACACTAACACACATTTTGTCATTTCTTATTTTGGCCTTAGACTAATAGTTTTGTGTTTTGATCATGTGAAGACAGAAAGCAGATTTTTCTTATTTGAAAAGTGCTTGCCCCAGCTGCTCACCATGCAGTGATTGTGTCAGAACAGGAAAAGTTATCTGTACTGTAGGGTTGTAAAAAAAAAAGAAGACACCTCTTTATAATGGATGAGTTATTCTACAGGGGAGTGTTACAGTAGGAGTCAGCTTGGAAACATGTAGCTACATGTTCTGTCAAACAATTGATGAATGTATTTCCCCTAAAAATATGTTTTCTCACCTCAGGGTCTTCCTGGTCCTCTCGGCCCACCCGGACCCAATGGACCTAGCGGTGAAAAAGTAAAGACATAGTTTGCCAAAAGCTAGAATTATTAGTTAGTTCATCTTTTGTTGTGACGGTAGAACTAAAACTTGTTGCAATTGCAGGGAGAAGCTGGTCCTAAAGGCCCTCCCGGGCCTCATGGATCAAGAGCTATGCCTGTGAGTGGACAACTGGACATTGAGTATTAAAGCATACAATGACATATTTACCTTGAAATGATCATATCAGGTATTATGGCATTATAATGCTTTATTTATATTCTGTTCCACCAGGGACCCCGTGGTGAACCTGGTCCTATTGGTCCTGTTGGGTTTGGTGGACCCCCCGTAAGTCATTATTTTCTGTAACCCATGCCTATGAGATAACATTAAACAGATTTTCTTAGAGTCATAGCGATCATAACAATTCATGTCATACAGATAGGATCTTAATTTCAGCACCCTGTTGCAGGAGAAATTTCCTGCAATAAATTTAAAACTTAAATTTCATACTTCATTTTCCCTTATGAAAAATGTATCAACCCCTACAAAAATGTCCATGAATTATAATACACATAATTATTCACATTTCCTGTTGCTGCAGGATTATTTTTCTGCTGTAGAAAACTGGCTCAAATTAAGATCCTACATCTGTACTGCATATCATATTCTGTATCATGTTATAATCATTATAATAATAATTTATACAATTTCTAGAATGCTTTTCATAATCTCAAAGCTCTTCAAAAGCAAAAAAACAAACAAGCAATACATCATCATGAGTAGCTCATATAGTTAGCTATATATAGTTAGCTACTGTAGCTCAACCATATATATATATATATATATATATATATATATATACCATATTCTTAGACCCCCTTTTGTGCTTTCTAGTAAGAAAAGTAGTTTGGGCTGTTTCCAGCGCTCATGCTTGTTGTGTTATTGTCCTTATACAGGGTCCCGATGGTCAACCAGGGGTCAAGGGGGAGCCTGGAGAGCCTGGTCAGAAGGGTGATGCTGGTTCTCCAGGGCCTCAGGGCTTGGCTGGATCGCATGGACCTCCTGTGAGTTAACAAGCTACATTATCTTGTGCTACATTATCTCACACAGACAACAGACTAAACAGGAGGAACAATCTCATTCAACAATCTTCATCTCTCCGCAGGGTATTGTCGGTGTGGCTGGACTGAAGGGTGGAAGAGGAACCCAGGGTGCACCTGTAAGTTAATGTTATGAATTATGACCACAGCCTCTTGGGACTGTGACAGGATTGTGCCCAGGTATTGACACATGCGGTACAGAGAGTATATAACTATGTAATGAATAGTAACCATGTGGATCTTCTCATCTTTTCACTCGTAGGGCCCCACTGGTTTCCCTGGATCTGCAGGCAGGGTTGGACCACCAGGCTCAACTGTAAGTAATCATCAAACCACTATTGGTTCTATTGGTTAATATATCCATTTGGAAGTAGCCACCAGCTATCATTTCAATATGCCACTGGCTATTGAATACAAAAATGATAACCACTGACCACCCATTACTTACACACTTCACATTATTCTCAGAGATAAAGAACAACAGTAACAAAACAACATTATTTTTCTAACAGGGTCCCGTTGGAGAGGCCGGACCCCTTGGTCCCCCTGGGAAGGAGGGTCCTCCTGGCCTTCGTGGAGAGAACGGATCCCCTGGGAGACAAGGAGAAAGCGGCCCCCCAGGACCAGCCGGAGGCTCAGGAGACAAAGGAGACTCTGGGGAAGACGGACCCACGGTAAACTATTACGTTTTGCTGATTAACAATGTTGCTCAATCCGTTCCTGGGAGAGTCCCAAGGGCTGCACATCACCAAGCCCTTGATAAGTTGAATCGGGTGTGTTCATGCCGGGTTAGAACAAAAAAGTACACCTCAGGAATTTATTGTACAGAAACACATTGCTGTATAATAGTTTATCCATTAAGTCAGGATATGAATTGAAATAAGAAAAAATAAACTCAACAAAAATATCAGGAATCATCCAATTCATGAACTGAACTGAATTTGGAGTTTGAGTCTTGTTGAATTGGATTGACCACAACCCTGTTACAGGGCAATATCTAGACAATATCAACTGGATTTGTTTCCACAGGGTCCTGATGGACCTCCAGGTCCCGCCGGAACAACAGGACAGAGAGGCATTGTGGGTCTTCCTGGTCAGAGGGGAGAGCGTGGAATGCTGGGACTTCCAGGACCAGCGGTATGTTCTGATTTCAACACATTGGTTAGAATCCCACTAATGTGGCCGCAATCAGAGCTGCTTCCACATTGCATGTCATGGTTCCATTGTCCATGTGGTGTTTGTAGGGTCCTCCAGGAAAACAGGGGACTGCAGGACCTGGGGGAGACAAAGGCCCCCCTGGCCCGGTCGGTTCTCCTGGTGCCAACGGACCTCGTGGTGATCCTGGTCCCGATGTAAGTTTCCCCTTACGTTTTTTCCGCCAAAACCTTTCACTTCACTATTTGTCCTCTTGCTGCTAGCAGTAAGATAGTTTATACCATGGCGTTGAATACTATTTTCTGATTGGCTTGAAGGGCATTCTAGAGCGTGCATTATTTCCCTATATTATGCAAGGTATATCAGCACGGTAGACTTCAATGGCTATAGTTTATTCTTACATTTTCTATTTGAGCTACTTTTGAAAGCAAAAGTCGAATTAAAACATTATTGGCATTGTTGAATTCGATTTTCACAATAGCATGCTAGGACTGATGGTTTGGTTAGCTAAACTAGCAAGTCTGTTTGTTTGGCTACCAAGGCAACTACTGTATAGATATATAGTAAACTTGCTAGCTGCTTAGTGGATGTTCATATTTCTACATGCAAATAAACACATTTCTAGCGGCAAATGTGTTAAATTATAGCCATGGTATGAAAGGGATAATCAAAATAATGCAACTCCATGGAAGGTTGTTCCAGTCCACTAGCGCGTGATGGAACACACCTTCCACGTTGATCATTATTTTCCATAGAACGCATAGCCCCTCCTTGATTATCCCTTACATATTCCGTAGAGGTTACAGTAGTTATTCACAATACGTTGTTTTCCTTCAGGGTCCTGCTGGATCTGATGGGCCGCCAGGCAAAGATGGAGTCATTGGTCAAAGGGTAGGAGCTGAACACTTTCCATTGGCAACTCTGTGTCCAAAATGTCTCGTATTGTTTATTGTGCTTGACCAACTGTGTTGAAACAGCAAGACACATTTCTTACAACCTTTTGTTGCATGTCAATTTAATGGTTCTGATTCCGATGATTTCAACAGGGAGATCGAGGGGACCATGGTCCAGAGGGTCTGGTTGGGACCCCAGGACAACCAGGAACTCCAGGTCCAGTCGGTGCCACCGGGGATTCTGGAAAGAGAGGAGACGCTGTACGTAATATGCCCTTTTCATTTATGTAAGGAATTTCCTTGTCAATACATGAGAATCCCAAGATTACATAAGAAGGAAAAAGAAAAGGGTCCTGACAATGTGTACATGTTCCTTATATTGGCCCAGCTGGCGCACAATTGGCCCAGCGTCGTCCTGGTTTGGCCGGTGTAGGCCGTCATTGTAAATAAGAATTTGTTCTTAACTGACTTGCCAAGTAAAATAAAGGTACAAATAAATAAATATAATAATAATAATAATAATAATAATAATAATAATAATAATAATACAGGCATACTTTATCTAATGAACTCATGTTGGTATCCTATTCATACACAGGGTTCCAGAGGACCAAACGGTCCACCCGGTTCAGCAGGAAAGAGAGGGTTAATGGTAAGACCATCGTAAACATATACATGATAAAAGGTTATAATTTCACTTTAATGACTAAACCACCAATAAATGTTTTTTCATGTTCAAACGTATTCAATATCCTAATAAAAATGAGCAGTCACATAAATAATAACATGCATGCTGTGGTTTTGACTACTAGAGCATTAGGCTTGACTCATGTGAGAACTGCCCATTGCATATTTGTATGGCGACACGTAACCACAAACAGAAATGAGCTTTCTCGTTTTTCTTTGGACGTCCCATAAAATGTGATTGCATGGTGTCCTTCTAAACAACAGGGACCACAAGGACCAATGGGTGATAAGGGTGACCTCGGAGACCATGGAGAGAGGGGACAGAAAGGACACAGAGGTTTCACCGGTTTGCAGGGTCTACCTGGTCCACCTGTATGTCAAATCAATACTTATCTTTTATTGAGTAGAACTTATATACACTGAGTGTACAAACATTAAGGACACCTTCCTAATATCGAGTTGCACCATAGCTTTCACCTGGATTCACCTGGTCAGTCTATGTCATGGAAAGAGCAGGTGTCCTTAATGTTTTGAACACACAGTGTAAGAGTATCCTTTTAAGTTGATATCAATCTTAATATTAATTATTTACTCCTTTATTTTTAGGGTACAACAGGAGAGCAGGGAGCATCAGGAATCGTCGGACCAAGCGGCCAAAGAGCACGTATCATATCAGACTGTTCAATGATGTTCCATGTTCCCAACCATATTGTATTTAATGTTTCATTATACTGGATCTTTATCATGGTATGTTATGATAGGGACCCCCTGGACCAGTTGGACCCCCAGGAAAAGAAGGGTACATCGGACAGCCTGGACCAATGGGACCTCCTGGAACCCGTGGAATTAGTGGCGATATCGGACCTGAGGCATGTTAATTTCCATTTAAGAATCGTTTCACCTACAGTTGAAGTCGGAAGTTTACATACACCTTAGCCAAATACATTTAAACTCAGTTTTTTCACAATTCCTGACATTTAATCCTAGTAAAAATTCCCTGTCTTAGGTCAGTTAGGATCACCACTTTATTTTAAGAATGTGAAATGTCAGAATAATAGTAGAGCGAATGATTTATTTCAGCTTTTATTTCTTTCATCACATTCCCAGTGGGTCAGAAGGTTACATACACTCAATTAGTATTTGGTAGCATTGCCTTTAAATTGTTTAACTTGGGTCAAACGTTTCGGGTAGCCTTCCACAAGCTTCCCACAATAAGTTTGGTGAATTTTGGCCCATTCCTCCTGACAGAGCTGGTGTAACTGAGTCAGGTTTGTAGGAATTCTTGCTCCCACACGCTTTTTCAGTTCTGCCCACAAATGTTCTATAGGATTGAGGTCAGGGCTTTGTGATGGCCACTCCAATACCTTGACTTTGTTGTCCTTAAGCCATTTTGCCACAACTTTGGAAGTATGCTTGGGGTCATTGTCCATTTGGAAGACCCATTTGCGACCAAGCTTTAACTTCCTGACTGATGTCTTGAGATGTTGCTTCAATATATCCACATAATTTTCCTTCCTCATGATGCCATCTATTTTGTGAAGTGCACCAGTCCCTCCTGCAGCAAAGCACCCTCACAGCATGATGCTGCAACCACCGTGCTTCACGGTTGGGATGGTGTTCTTCGGCTTGCAAGATCCCCCTTTTTCCTCCAAACGTAACAATGGTCATTATGGCCCAACAGTTCTATTTTTGTTTCATCAGACCAGAGGACGTTTCTCCAAAAAGTACGATCTTTGTCCCCAAGTGCAGTTGCAAACCGTAGTCTGGCTTTTTTATGGAGGTTTTGGAGTAGTGGCTTCTTCCTTGCTGAGCGGCCTTTCAGGTTATGTCAATATAGGACTCGTTTTACTGTGGATATAGATACTTTTGTACCGGTTTCCTCCAGCATTTTCACAAGGTCCTTTGCTGTTGTTCTGGGATTGATTTGCACTTTTTGCACCAAAGTACGTTCATCTCTAGGAGACAGAATGCGTCTCCTTCCTGAGCGGTATGACTGCTGCATGGTCCCATGGTTTTTATACTTGCGTACTATTGTTTGTACAGATGAACGTGGTACCTTAATAATCTGTCTGTAAACAATTGTTGGAAACATTACTTGTGTAATGCACAAAGTAGATGTCCTAACCGACATGGCAAAACTATAGTTTGTTAACAAGAAATTTGTGGAGTGGTTGAAAAAACGAGTTTTAATGACTCCAACCTAAGTGTATGTAAACTTCCGACTTCAACTGTACATGGACAACTGATATGGACATTTCCTGGGAAGTCAGCGCAAACGTCATTAACATTTGGCACATAATGTCAAAACACTTAATTTGTTCACACCTTGTAATTACTCTCTATTTACCATAACTCTTTGGTTTCCAGGGACCTCCTGGAGAGCCTGGTCCCAATGGTCCTCCCGGGCCTCCCGGACCCCCCACGGCTGCCATGGATGACCTATTTGGCGGCATGCACGACTATGATGCTGGCCCCCCCCCTCCAGAGTTCAACGAGGATGAGGCTCTGCCCAACAGTAATGCCACTCAGCAGCTGGACCCAGGTGTTCAGGCCACTCTGAAGGCCCTCAGCAGCCAGATCGACAGCATGAAAAGCCCAGACGGCAGCAGGAAGCACCCGGCCAGGACCTGTGAGGACTTGAAGCAGTGCTACCCACTGAAGAAAAGCGGTAAGTTGTTGTTTCCATGAGGCGGGAAGTACATAATTGAGGTGTTTTTGTTGTAGTTATTCAGTATTCAGACCATGTCTTATCATGCAGCCATTGCTTCATGTGATGTGGGGTGGTGTGTGTTTGAAACAGTTTTGAATATTTTGGGAAAACTTCTACCCCTGAGGATGCGTAAATCACATAAGAAACATCTCTTTAGTAAAACAAGCCAATAGACCAGGGCAGATGGGACAATTGTGGGACAATATTCTCTTTCTCTATTCCAGGTGAATACTGGGTTGATCCAAACCAAGGAAGCTCAGAGGATGCTATCAAAGTACATTGTAATATGGAGACTGGAGAGACCTGCATCTCGGCCAACCCCGCCAGCATACCTAAGAAAGTATGGTGGAGTACCTCAAGGAATAAGCCTGTGTGGTTTGGAGCTGATATCAATAGAGGAACAAAAGTACGACAATTTTTCACATTTTAACATAACATTTTAGTCATTTAGCAGACGCTCTTATCCAGAGCGACTTACAGGAGCAATTAGGGTTAAGTGCCTTGCTCAAGGGCACAGACAGATTTTCACCTAGTCGGCTCGGGGATTAGAACCAGCGACCCTTCAGTTACTGGCACAACGCTCTTAACCACTAAGCTACCTAATACTTTTTGGTGGTTCAATTTCGGAAGTCTGTGGGAATTCTGCTTCCATGCATTCCACCATAATTATGGGATAAAAGTATTTGATATGGTAGTGGGGTATTGCTGAGGAAAAATACTTTCTTTGTAAAGCAAGTCTGAAGACTAAATCTAGCAATATACACACATTTGACAATCACAGATAATATGTGCTATGTAAATGTGACACGTATATAAATAACTACGACATTACCGATAACTGCTGATAACATTATATTGAAATGTATCTGAAAAGTGAGCTCATCATTTGCCACCAATTTTTCAACTGTTGTTTGTTTTCTCTTTTTGTGTTTTTGCAGTTCACCTATGGTAACAAAGATCAGCCTGCCAACTCGGTCACCATCCAGATGACATTCATCCGTCTGCTCTCCAAAGAGGCTTCACAGACCATCACCTACCACTGCAAGAACACAGTGGGCTACAAGGATGAGGCGACTGGGAACCTAAAGAAAGCAGTCATCCTCAAGGGGTCGAATGACCTGGAGCTCAAGGCAGAGGGAAACAACCGCTTCAGATACACCGTGGTGGAGGACAGTTGTGGAGTGAGTATTTTCAATAGACGTTTTGTGGCCGTTTAAGTTTGGTTCCTGAAACATTTCAATCTTCCCTTAAAAAAAAAAAAAAAAGACATTTGCAGTTTCACATGTGAAATAGCTGTTTTCACATGTTGAGCTTAATTTTCGCACGTGAAACCATATGTTTACATATATTAAAATTGGAGTTCACATGTTAACACGACCTTTTCACATGTGAAGAGAATAACATGCTTTCACCTCACATGTGAATTTCAGTTTCGCGTGAAACTGTTGCAGTAGCAATGTTTCCACTGGTGGAATTAGAGTGACCACATCTATAAAGCCAAAATGCGGGCCAAGGGAATGATTTTGCAAAGTAAATGTAAACAACCACTGTTTAGCCTAAAAACATGGTTAAAACTATAATTTTGATATGATGGATGGTCAGTCCTTGCATCCATAGCATTGTCACGAACGTCGGGAAGAGAGGAGGACCAAGGCGCAGCGTTGCAGACGAACATACTCTTTATTTATGATACACGATCAAAAACAACAAAACGATAACGTGACAGTCAATGGTCAAACACAAACCAACACGAACAAGATCCCACAACCACTGTGGGCAAACAGCCTGTTTAAATGTGGTTCCCAATCAGAGACAACCAGCCACAGCTGACACTCGTTGCCTCTGATTGAGAACCACACTGGCCAACATAGAAATGAAATACATAGATCTACACACCCTGGCTCAACATAACAGTGTCCCCAGAGCCAGGGCGTGATAGTACCCCCCCCTAAAGGCACGGACTCCGACCGCGCCAACTAAATACCACAGGGGAGGGACCGGGTGGGCACTCCGCCTTGGCGGCGGATCCGGCTCCGGGCCTGATCCCCACTCCCTCTCCAACCCCCCAAAGTACCCCTGGTCCGGTCTGGCCCCGCTGGCCGGAGCTGGACAGCACACTGATGGAGCGGATTGCTCTAGCTCCGGCGTAACGCATCTGACCGGTGCCGGAACAGGCACCAGTGGAACAGGCACGGGCCGTGCCGGACTGACGACGCCCACCACTGGCTTGGTGTGGAGAACAGGCACGGGCCGTGCTGGACTGACGACGCACACCACTGGCTTGGTGTGAGGAGCAGGAGCGGGCCGAACCGGGCTGACGATGCGCACCCCTGGCTTGGTGCGTGGAGCAGGAACTGGCTGGACCGGGCTGACGACTCGCACCCCTGGCTTGGTGCGAGTGGCAGGAACAGGCCGAACCGGGCTGGCGACGCGCACCATCGGCTTGGTGCGGGGAGCAGGAACAGGCCGGACCGGGCTGACGATACGCACCCCTGGCTTGGTGCGTGGAGCAGGAACAGGCTGGACCGGGCTGGAGACTCGCACCATTGGCCTGGTGCGGGGAGCAGGAACAGGCCGGACCGTACTGGGGACACACACCACTGGCCCTACGCAGGGATCTGGAATGGGCCGGACCGGACTGGTAACACACCCCAGTACCTCTCGCCGTGCCTCTACACCTTCCATCCCCTCTTCGACCAGTGGCCCCCGTAACCTGGCGGCCTCCTCTGCCAACCCGCTGGGCCGCTCTGTCGCGGTCTCCTGCTGGCCCGTCGTCCACAGCGTTAGCCCCCCCCCTAAAAATGTTCTGGGCGTCTCTCCTACCCGTGGACCAGGTCTCCATGTCCCTCGCCAGACTTTCGCCCTTCTGCTTCCAAGTCCGGCCCTTTTCTTCCTCACCCGGCTTGACCCAGTCGAGGAGGCGAAGGAGATCTGCTAGAGATCTCCCTGGCGATGGCTCCTGGACACGCTGCTTGGTCCAGTCTTGGTGGGATCTTCTGTCACGAACGTCGGGAAGAGAGGAGGACCAAGGCGCAGCGTTGCAGACGAACATACTCTTTATTTATGATACACGATCAAAAACAACAAAACGATAACGTGACAGTCAATGGTCAAACACAAACCAACACGAACAAGATCCCACAACCACTGTGGGCAAACAGCCTGTTTAAATGTGGTTCCCAATCAGAGACAACCAGCCACAGCTGACACTCGTTGCCTCTGATTGAGAACCACACTGGCCAACATAGAAATGAAATACATAGATCTACACACCCTGGCTCAACATAACAGTGTCCCCAGAGCCAGGGCGTGACAAGCATAGTCTATGGATTTCAGAGTGGTTGCATTTCTCCAGCTCCATCCCTTTTACTGAAACTGGCGGGGAGTAATAGTGTAATAGAGTTTGTGTTATTATATGGTGCAATCCTGAGTGAGTCACTTTTGTGCCATTAATATCAAGCAAAACGTCTGAAGTCGAGATTTTATTTTTTTGTATTTCAAACAAAAATAATGATATTGAAAGCAAAACATATACCCAAAAGTATTGATAGCGAAACAAAATATTGCAAATAAATAATTTCGAACTGAGATTTTTTTGTGTGTTATGGATGCAATAAAAAATAAAATGATAACACGATTAAATAAAATGCCTCCCTCTGTCCTGCAATTGTCCCCATCTTTGGTTATGTTACCGTGGCCTTTGCTTTCGCTGCCTTTTTTTCAGTTGCAAGTTTTGGCACATTCATTCCAGCAACATATCACCCTGCATCCCACTGCTGGTTTGTCCCTGAAGCTAAGCAGGGTCAGTTCTGGTCGGTCCCTGGATGGGCGACCAGATGTACCTGGAAGTGGTGAAAAAGAAAAGTGTGGAGAAAAAAAATATGCGGGGGGTTTCCACATGAGGGAAAATACATGTAAAAAAACATGCATGTGAAACTTCAAACGTCCGAAAACCACGTGATTTGTTCATGTTTTTTTGGTAAGGGTGGGTTCTCACTGGAAACAGTGGCTTCCTGAGATCTTAATTTAACCTTTGTCATTTCTTTCTCTTTAAAGCAATCCAATGGTAACTGGGGAAAGACAGTGTTTGAGTACAGGACACAGAAAACAGCCAGACTTCCCATCATGGATATGGCCCCTGTGGACATTGGTGGTTCCAATCAGGAGTTTGGTATCAATATTGGGCCGGTTTGCTTCCTATAAATTCCAACAACAACAGGGACGTATTGAAGAGAATCCAGAGACTCTTGAAATGACAGCTGACGCGATCAGCCTTGTACATACAAGTACTGGTGGACTATTCTCGCCCCGTAGCAAGATATTTATTGTGCCTTTCCAACCATTACCCATCATAGTCGATATGTTTTCGCCCTAGGTACGTTAGATGAATGTTTGGGAGAAATAAAGAGCGAGCAAGCAACATTTAGAAACTTTGCTTGCACTTGAGAAATATAGTATGAGCATGTTTCATCTGTAATTACATTTAGTTTATGCCAAGGTAAAAAGATCCAATGTATTGATACAATATTAGATTTTATGGAACAAAGATAAAAAGCTGCCAAAGGTCCTTGATAAATATGAATGCTTAAAAAAAGAGTCATTAACTGCTGTTTGTAAGATGAGAGCAACATTCTGCAAGAATATACCTACAACGGTTTATTCCAAAGTGTTTTCAATGTCAAATGAACGTTTACGGTGCTATTGAGGAAATTAATTCAGATAAATGCTTTCATTGCCATACATTGCTGTTTTTTCTTTCCAGAACTTAAAGACAGTTTAATACAACTGATGTCTGTATCCAAGTTATCAACTCTGTACTGACTCCATTGAATACAAATGAAAGATCGAACCAGACTGTCGATTTCTCAGTGTCAGCTACCTCGTCGCCACAAACTGGGATGCCACAGGTTTGGTGCTGTCTTTTCACAGGTTTGGTGCTGTCTGTAAGTGGTGATCATGTGCTTCTCTCCCAACTACGGTACAGGGCAGGGTTTGCGGCTACCAATAAAAATGGAGAGGTAGAATCAGTGTCTCGTGAAAAGTGTGTGGTGATTGTGAAAGAAGAATTTCCTTTTTTTAATTAATTTGTGTTGTTTTTCATTCGTGATAATTTCAACACTTTGAATGTGTTATATTTTAAATTCATGATAATTTTAACACTACAAGTGTGTAATGTTTTTTCTGCATGTTGCCCTTTAAGTCACTTTCTCTTAGTTATATTTTATAGCAGCTTTTGAGACATTGAATAAGATGACCTTGAAAGCCTATTTGCTTCATGTATTTTTGCTGTGCAACAAATTAAACAAAATGCTTGTCTATTCCCAAAGCTCTTTTTTGTCATATTAATTAGCTAAGGTCCTACTTTTTAGGTAAAGCTGTGCCTTACTGCATTTACTAAGTTTGTTTGTTTGCACAGAGATAAATTAAATATTGCCAAAGGCAGATTACATGTGGATTGAACATTTATTTAGCTTTGTAATTATAAATGTATTATGTTCCATTGTCTTGTTGCTTTATGTCTCTTTTTAGTTACGTTTTTCCTAAATCAACTTTCTGATTTCTTTGTTTGAGGTAACTTACCATAATGATAGTATTTATTAAATATTTCAAAACTGTAAATATTCTGGAGGCTGATAGGTCCGTCTCCGAGGCAGATCAATAAGATAATCTATCCTGGAATCAAGTCAGTTTCATCCACTGAAATAAATATTGAAATGTTTTTGTTCTGCTTGTTTTCATTTAAAAGTTTATTTGTTTATAAGTCACTCTTAGTATTCATGAGTACAGTGCATTCGGAAAGTATTCAGACCCCTTGACTTTATCTACATTTTGTTACGTTACAGCCTTATTCTAAAATGGATAAAATAGATTTTTTCCCTCATCAATCTACACACAATACTCCATAATGATGAAGCAAAAGCAGGTTTTTAGAATTGTATGCACATTTATTAAAGTCTCTCGGTCCCAGCTTTGATGCACCTGTACTGACCTCGCCTTCTGGAGGATAGCGGGGTGGACAGGCCATGGCTCGTGTGGCTGAGGTCCTTGATGATCTTCTTGGCCTTCCTGTAACACCGGGTGCTGTAGATGTCCTGAAGGGCAAGCAGTATGCTCCCGGTGATGCGATGAGGTGACCGCACCACCCTCTGGAGAGCCCTGCGGTTGCGGATGGTGCAGTTGCCGTACCAGGCGGTGATACAGCCCAACAGGATGCTCTCAATGGTACATCTGTAAAAGTTTGTGAGGGTCTTAGGGGCCAAGCCACATTTCTTCAGCCTCCTGAGGTTGAAGAGATGCTGTTGTGCCTTCTTCACCACACTGTCTGTGTCGTTGGACCATTTCAGATTGTCAGTGATGTGTACGCTGAGGAACTTGAAGCTTTTCACCTTCTCCACTGCGGCCCCGTCGAAGTGGATGGGGGCGTGCTCCCTCTGCTGTCTCCTGAAGTTCACGATCAGCTCCTTTGTTTTGTTGACGTTGAGGGAGAGGTTATTAATGGAAGATAGTTCGTACATGATAGTAATTGATTTGTTATTTTATTAATTTTTTATTTATTAGGATCCCCATTAGCCGACGCCAATGATGACAGCTAGTCTTACTGGGGTCCGACACAACGAAAAAAACATTACAGACAAAAGAGTTTACAATTTACAGACATTTAAAAACATTAACATGTAGTGTGTGTGTGCATCTATTAGTTACACATACATGTCAGTACATACTCACAACAAGTAGGTCACATGGGGAGAGGCGTTGTGCCGTGAGGTGTTGCTTTATTTGTTTTTTGAAATCAGGTTTGCTGTTCACTTGCGCTATATAAGATGGAAGGGAGTTCCATGCACCCATACTGTACGTTTCCTTGAATATGTTCTGGACCTGGGGACTGTGAAAAGACCCCTGGTGGCATGTCTGGTGGGGTAAGTGTGTGTGTCAGTGCAGTGTGTATGTTGACTATGCAAACTATTTGGAATTTTCAACAAATTAATGTTTCTTATAAAAACAAGATGTGATGCAGTCAGTCTTTCCTCAACTCTTAGCCAAGAGAGACTGGCATGCATTGTATTAATATTAGCCCTCTGATTACAATGAAGAGCAAGATGTGCCACTCTGTTCTGGACCAGCTGCACCTTAACTAGGTATTTCTTTGCAGTACTTGACCATATGACTGCTCCCACAAAAAAACAGAAATATCAAATTTACATAAGTATTCAGACCCTTTACTCAGTACTTTGTTGAAGCACCTTTGGCAGCGATTACAGCCTTGAATCTTCTTGGGTATGACGGTACAAGCTTGGCACACCTGTATTTGGTGAGTTTCTCAGATTCTCTGCAAATCCTCTCAAGCTCTGTCAGATTGGATGGGGAGCGTCGCTGCACCGCTATTTTCAGGTCTCTCTAGATATGTTCGATCGGGTTCAAGTCCAGGCTCTGGCTGAGCCACTCAAGGACATTCAGAGACTTCTCCCGAAGCCACTCCTGCTTTGTCTTGGCTGTGTGCTTAGGGTCATTGTCCTGTTGGAAGGTGAACCTTCACCCCAGTCTGAGGTCCTGAGCACTCTGGAGCAGGTTTTCATCAAGGATCTCTCTGTACCTTGCTCCGTTCATCTTTCCCTCGATCCTGACTAGTCCCCCAGTCCCTGCCGCTGAAAAACATCCCCACAGCATGATGCTGCCACCACCATTCTTCACTGTAGGGATGGTGCCAGGTTTCCTCCAGATGTGACATTTGGCATTCAGGCCAAAGAGTTCAATCTTGGTTTCATCAGACCAGATAATCTTGTTTCTCATGGTCTGAGAGTCCTTTATGTGCCTTTTGGCAAACTACAAGTGGGCTGTCACGTGCCTTTTACTGAGGAGTGGCTTCTGTCTGGCCACTCTACCATAAAGGCCTGATTGGTGAGTGCTGCAGAGATGGTTGTCCTTCTGGAAGGTTCTCCCATCTCCTCAGAGGAATTCTGGAGCTCTGTCAGAGTGACAATTGGGTTCTTGGTGACCTACCTGACCAAGGCCCTTCTCCCCCGATTGCTTAGTTTGGCCGGGCGGCCAGCTCCAGTAAGAGTCTTGGTGGTTCCAAACTTCTTCCATTTAAGAATGATGGAGGCCACTGTGTTCTTGGGGACCATCAATGCTGCAGACATTTTTTGGTACCCTTCCCCAGATCAGTGCCTTGACACAATCCTGTCTTGGAGCTCTACGGACAATTTCTTCGACCTCATGGCTTGGTTTTTGCTCTGACATGCACTGTCAACTGTGGGACCTTACATAGACATGTGTGTGCCTTTCCAAATAATGTCCAATCAATTGAATTTACCACAGGTGGACTCCAATCAAGTTGTAGAATTATCTCAAGGATGATCAATGGAAACAGGATGCACCTGAGCTCAATTTCGAGTCTCATAGCAAAGGGTCTGAATACTTATATCAATAAGGTATTTCTGTTTTTTATTTTTAATACATTTGCAAACATTTCTAAAAACCTGTTTTTTCGCTTTGTCATTATGGGGTATTATGTGTAGACTGATGAGGACACATTTTAATTTAATCCATTTTAGAATAAGGCTGTAACGTAACAAAATGTGGAAAAAGGGAAGAGGTCTGAATACTTTCCGAATGCACTGTATGTATACAAGCGACTCAAAAACTGTCTTACTTACTGTCATTGTGATGCCACCAAGCAAGATAAATATTGACTGAGATGCAAAAAACAACAACAATAGGCTTGTTTCTTCTTGATGCCTATCAAAGCCTATCCATCAGTAGAGCTCCATTGTTGAATATCCCCAGTACATATTCAGAATGCCCAACATGGTAACACTTTACATTAATTTGCACTTTTCTTATACCTGTGTAGTAATGCTGTAATTACACTAGTAACAATTTAATATGTTGTTACATAGCACTTTAGTAATAGCATTACAATATTACTATGTAACAAACTGAATGTAAAGTGTTACCCAACACACATGATTCCCAAGACATTCACATATAAAATATATACATTTTAAAATGCATAACATTTAAAAATTCATAAAATATATATTTTTAATCATTATATGGCCAACACATACTTCTTTATTTATTGAGTGTCGATAATTGATGTCGTAATGTTTTCTTTAATAACTGTAACAGCAAAGTCATATTGCATACAAAGTAAAATAACAAGTATATAGTACTGTATATGGACAGAGGTTTTCAAAAGTGCTTTCTGGTGCAAGAGGATACTGATATATATCATAAGAAAGTAAATAATGTCAATACATACCGATATGTAAAATGCACCTGTTAAAATGTTTAACAAGAAAATAAAGCTATTAAATCCGATGTCAGGACAAAACAATCCGAATAAATGAATTACAGTTAACTAAAAATACATATGAGTAAAAAGAACATAGAAGATATGTCAAATTAAGGGCAAGCTGAGAGTTTGGTATATGAGTGTTAATACAAGACCGACTACATTTACGTGTCTTGTGAGTTGATGATAAGCAAGTCATGTCTGACAAACAAATAAGAATGTGATAACAACGCTGTTCTATGTGGTGTATATTCAATAAAACTGATTCTACACATAAGAAAATTCTGCCACAGAGTGTACCATTGGACATACTATTTACATCCATCATTGCCTGTATAAGCAAGAGGTCTCAAAACTACTCCTTCCCATGTGAGTTCTTACAAAAATAGTGCTTTCTATATCAGATTTGAATATACCTTTCATTATTCTAAAACCAAATTCAAATGCAAATACATATAAACCTTAAGATGAGAAGAACATTGACATCTTGAATTTTAGACCCAATTTTGGCACTTTTAATACAAATGATTTAACAGTATGTAACAGCAACATGTCTACTTGGCATCAGCAGCGACTGTCTAGTGGGCCAAGAGAAAAGACAGTGCCCTCTAGGGTTAGTCCCATTGTGAACCCCTCCTGTAAAACAAGGGGGAGAATGGTTGTTAGAAAGAATCTATCCTATGTCAACCTGCTCTAAAGGAGGAAAGATAACAAACGAAGGTAGTCGATATAATCAATAACACAGTTTCTCAATGTCAGCAAAGTTGAGAGACAAGTTGGTGAGCTGTAACCAAGACTCTGTAAATTAGAGTCATTCTGGCCCCAAGTTTTTATTCTTGTTTGGTCCAAAATAGCATGCATCCAAGTCTACAAAAGAATGGTTAGGGGATATGAAATCTAGAATGCCCAAGTCCTTCTCAGAGGCAGTCTGAGAAATGACAAGTTCTGAGGAAGATTTGGTCCAAATCCCTCTAAATAAGTGTAGAAACATAATATCTAAACCACAAAGTACACAATAATCTGTCTGACCTATGGATGTAGAGAATAATAACTACAGGACTTTGAATAAATCGGACCCTATGTGACCCTAGATTGTTCCAGAGACAACAAGTAACACAAATATGATGAAGCATTTTGACAAGCAATAACACATTTGCCACACATTTTCAGTTACAAAATGATGGACAAAGATAATACTAGTTGCAGCCAAGTACACCCAACACAGTATTAGATCAGATTTGTTATTTATTCATGTAATTTTATTTTGTTGTTGACGCGAAAGATAAAATAAAAGAGACTGACTGACTGAGAAAAGTAAAGCTTCCATAGCCAAACACTTTTAACTCATATGCATCCTCTTGATACAAGCTAAAACAAGGTTAATGTTTTTAAGAAATCACATTGTTTATAGGCGAATGTACTTCAACTCCATACAATAGATGTGTCCAGCATTATGAAAGTGAGACGTTTCAAAAAGCCTGCTGGGTGTACTTTACTGATGGACTGTATGCAGAGTATACAACAGAGTCAAACTGAATACATGCAAATTCATTCACGATGACAAGGTCACAGTCACATTACCGGCAGCCACAAGAAGGGTTCTTATGGGTCAAAATAGTGTAAAGGTACAAACCATCTCTGACGCTGCAGCAAAAGGGGAAAAAATATATGGAAACAGATAGTTAAGACAGAAAAAGGCAGGAAGGAGATGAAAGAAGAGATGCTTAGCAGCATACTAGCAAACCATTGCCTCCTACTGGAACTACTGCAGCATTCCATCAAATTCCCAAACTGTTATTCATGCACAGACAGAGGGGTTATGTAAAGGTTTGGACGCTAGGTTCCCAAAGTTCAATTGCAATTAAAATAAAGAGTTTGAAATATAAAAACAACCCCCACGCTTCAGTTTTACAGTTAAATTCCTCTGCCGACTCAGTCAGCATGGGCATTTATGTAAAAGACTGACATTGTATTTGTAATTACAGATAAGCTGTGCTCCAATTATGATAATGACAGTTATTAACAAAAGTATCTATTCATGCGGAGCAACAGAATGTGTACAAAAAGCCCAACATGCATATTCAATAAAGGGAACATAATATATTATTATTACTCATGCATCCATAACATAACAACTAACAGTTGTTGTTTTGCATCGATGATGTGACAACAATTATTGTTTTGCATCTGTAATCAATCAGTGACAACTAATACTTTGTAACAATAGCTTTGAAATAGCTAAAATATAGAATATAATGATATTCCATTCAAGCCCTAAAATCCCATGGCTCATTTGACAAAATACTTACAGTATATCTCATAAGGAATAGAGAAGTGAATGTGGATTACAAGTCAGCCCAAAGTGGGCGGATGACACTAGTACCTACTTCACAGTAGGGTGAACTTTCATGTGCATTAATTACAAACTTGTATGGGATCTGTAAATATGAATACAAATGTTACATTATGAGCCTAGTTTAGCCAACGAGAACGCGCTGAGCTTTATAGGGAGAAACACAGGATCCTTCCTGGCTAGCCATGACTGGCTGAGATAATGGAGGGGTTGACCATGCTGACAGTTGGCTATGCGTTTACATGTGAATTCTTAAAGACATTGGTGGGTCTATGGCTTAAGAGGGATGCTGAATGGGCGTAAACAAATAAGAGCACTAGACTCAACAAAATCTTTTAAGGGGATTTTTCTCCTACTTGTCTCCTAACAAGTTTATCAATTTGAGAGGGTAGGGGCCCCCCTACTAGGGTGGAGGTCTACTCTCCAACACTTTATAATAGCTTGATCATTCACAGACATGCAGTCACCTGTATCTCGTCCAGTTTGGACTGGATATCTGGGGGGAAGTCAGCTTGCCCACAGGTGAACGGATCAAAAGGTGCTGCACCAAAAAGGTCTTTACCTGTGAGGGAGAGACAAGATACTATATGAGATGCCACAACGTAGGAGTGTTTAAATGGGCTTACATTGGTAACATAAATGGGCTTACATTGGTAACACTTATTTATTAAGTAGGCATTGTTCATGTTATTATAGTGTAACCAAAACGCTTTCTCCCTAATGACCACGACCGGTGTTTTATCCCTTATTCTGTGTGTGGTTGAATTATAACTTTAATCTCACTGTTATCCTTGAACTGTAAAGTAACCAGAGCAGTGTACTCACTTATGTCTGGAGGAGATGTTGTAGGGGGTGGCGGGTGTGTGCCGTTGCTTGCGGGTATTGGTACCAGGGGTGTGACAGCAGAGAAGGGAACCATGTCAAAAACATCTGTGGACATCTGGGGTTTCAAGGAGATGCTGCCAGCCTGTGAGTGTAGAGGGTATTGGTTCATTCCAATTATTCCCTTATGCCATGAGCATTAGTGAGCTACAGTGAGCTCCAAAAGTATTGGGACAGTGACAAATGTTTTGTTGTTCTGGCTCTGTACTCCAGCACCTTGGATTTGAAAATATACAATGACTATGAGGTTAAAGTGCAGACTGTCAGCTTTAATTTGAGGGTATTTTCATTCATATCGCAGAACTATCATACCCCCAAGACATGCTAACCTCTCACCGTTACAATAACAGGGGAAGTTAGCATTTTTGGGGGGTAAGATATTTGTGCGTCAGTAACTTTCTCACTCATCATTATTCACGATTCATTCAGGATTATCCGTAATCATGGTAACATCCACATTAATGTACAAGCGTTTAGAAACATATTCTATTCTTATTTACAATAAAAGTGACTCCAAAATGACACAATACATTATTTATCATTCATTTCTATTGGGCACAAAATAATCTGAAACACAACCAAAACAAACAGCAAATGCATCCAACAAATGTGTAGAGTCACAAGCTTGATGTTGTCATTGTGTGCTATAAATATGGGACCAAATACTTAACTTTTTATTACTTTAATACACATAAGTGAATTTGTACTAATACTTTTAGTCCCCTTGAATGGGGAGATTATGTACAAAATGTCCTGTCATTTCTAAACGGTTCAATGTTAAATGTGCAACCAGAGGAAAAAAAAACTTGAGACCTTATAAGCAAAAACTAAAGCAGGAAGCACCAGTGACTCGGTTAATAAAAAAGTGGTCAGATGACGCAGATGCTAAGCTACAGGGCTGTTTTGCTAGCACAGACTGGAACATGTTCCGGGATTCTTCAGATAGCATTGAGGAGTACACCACATCAGTCACTGGCTTCATCAATAAGTGCATCGATGACGTTGTCCCCACAGTGACCGTACGTACATACCCCAACCAGAAGCCATGGATTACAGGAAACATCCCCACTGAGATAAAGGGTAGAGCTGCCGCTTTCAAGGAGCGGCAGCTCTACCCCGCTATGCCCTCCGACGAACCATCAAACAGGCAAAGAGTCAATACAGGACTAAGATTGAATCGTACTACACCGGCTCTGACACTCGTCGGATGTGGCAGGGCTCGAAAACTATTACAGACTACAAAGGGAAGCACAGCCGTGAGCTGTCCAGTGACACAAGCCTACCAGACGAGCTAAACCACTTCTATGCTCGCTTCGAGGCAAGCAACACTGAAGCATGCATGAGAGCACCAGCTGTTCCGGATGACTATGTGATCACACTCTCCGTAGCCGATGTAAGACTTTTAAGCAGGTCAACATTCACAAGGCCACAGGGCCAGACGGATTACCAGGACGTGTACTCCAAGCATGTGCTGACCAACTGGCAAGTTTCTTCACTGACATTTTCAACATGTCCCTGACTGAGTCTGTAATACCAACATGTTTCAAGCAGACCACCATAGTCCCTGTGCCCAAGAACACTAAGGTAACCTGCCTAAATGACTACCGACCCGTAGCACTGACGTCTGTAGCCATGAAGTGCTTTGAAAGGCTGGTCATGGCTCACATCAACACCATTATCCCAGAAACCCTAGACCCACTCCAATTTGCATACCGCCCCAACAGATCCACAGATGCAATCTCTATTGTACTCCACACTGCCCTTTCCCACCTGGACAAGAGGAACACCTACGTGAGAATGCTATTCATTGACTACAGCTCAGCGTTCAACACCTTAGTGCCCTCAAAGCTCATCACTAAGCTAAGGATCCTGGGACTAAACACCTCCCTCTGCAACTGGATCCTGGACTTCCTGACGGGCTGCCCCCAGGTGGTAAGGGTAGGTAACAACACATCTGCCACGCTGATCCTCAACAAGGGGGCCCATCAGGGGTGCGTGCTCAGTCCCCTCCTGTACTCCCTGTTCACCCATGACTGCATGGCCAGGCACGATTCCAACACCATCATTAAGTGTGCCGACGACACAACAGTGGTAGGCCTGATCACCGACAACGATGAGACAGTTTATAGGGAGGAGGTCAGAGACCTGGCCGTGTGGTGCCAGGATAACAACCTCTCCCTCAACGTGACCAAGACAAAGGAGATGATTGTGGACTAAAGGAAAAAAAAGAGGACTGAGCACGCCCCCATTCTCATCGACGGGGCTGTAGTGGAACAGGTTGAGTGTCCACATCACCAACAATCTATCATGGTCCAAACACACCAAGACAGTGGTGAAGAGGGCACGACAAAGCCTATTCCCCCTCAGGAGACTGAAAAGATTTGGCATGGGTCCTCAGATCCTCAAAAAGTTATACAGCTGCATCATCGAGAGCATCCTGACTGGTTGCATCACCGCCTGGTATGGCAACTGCTTGGCCTCCGACCGCAAGGCACTACAGAGGGTAGTGCGTATGGCCCAGTACATCACTGGGGCCAAGCTTCCTGCCATCCAGGACCTCTATACCAGGTAGTGTCAGAGGAAGGCCTTCACAATTGTCAAAGACTCCAGCCACCCTAGTCATAGACTGTTCTCTCTGCTACCGCACGGCAAGCGGTACCGGAACGCCAAGTCTAGGTCCAAAAGGCTTCTCAACAGCTTCTACCCCCAAGCCATAAGACTCCTGAACAGCTAATCATGGCTACCCAGACTATTTGCACTGCCCCCCCACCCCCACCCCATATTTTTACGCTGCTGCTACTCTGTTAATTATGCATAGTCACTTTAACTCTACCCTCATGTACATATTACCTCAACTACCTCAACTAGCCGGTGCCCCCCCACATTGACTCTGCACCGGTACCCCCCTGTATATAGCCTCCCTACTGTTATTTTATTTTACTTCTGCTCTTTTTTTCTCAACACTTTTTTGTTGTTGTTGTTTATTTTACTTTTTTTATTAACAAATAAATGCATTGTTGGTTAAGGGCTGTAAGTAAGCATTTCACGGTAATGTCTACACCTGTTGTATTCGGCGCATGTGGCAAATAAAATTTGATTTGATATGGATGAAAATACCTTCAAATTAAAGCTGTAAGTCTACAGTTTAACATCATAGTCATTGTCTCATTTCAAATCCAAAGTGTTGGAGTACAGAGCCAAAACAACACAAAGTGTGTGACTGTCCCAATACTTGAGCCAAAACAACACAAAACGTGTGACTGTCCCAATACTTTTGGAGCTCATTGTATATTCTGAAGTCAGAGTTATGAAGATAGATTTCAAGTCAGACTGTAGTTCTAATATAACTAATTGAGATAAGACTTAGAAGTTGATGAAATATTGATGAGCATACTTTATGTATCTGTATTGTCTACTCTACAATATACACTGAGTGTACAAAACATTAGGAACACCTTCCTAATATTGAGTTGCACCCCCTTTTGCCCTCAGAATAGCCTCAAATCGTCAGGACATGGACTCTACAAGGTGTTGAAAGCATTCCACAGGGATGCTGGCCCATGTTGACTCCAATGCTTCCCACAGTTGTGGAACCCTGACCTGTTCACCGGACGTGCTACCTTGTCCCAGACCTGCTGTTTTCAACTGTCTCTCTCTACCGAACCTGCTATTTCAACCTCTAAATGCCCGGCTATGAAAAGCAAAGTGACATTTACTCCTGATGTACTGACCTGTTGCAACCTCTACTACCACTGTGATTATTATTTGACCCTGCTGGTCATCTATGAACATTTGAACATCTTGGGAGAGAAATCTGGCCTTAATGGCCATGTACTGTTATAATCTCCACCCGGCACAGCCAGAAGGGGACTGGCACCCCTCAGAGCCTGGTTCCTCTCTAGGTTTCTTCCTATGTTTCTGCCTTTTAGGGAGTTTTTCCTAGCCACCGTGCTTCTACATCTGCATTGCTTGCTGTTTGGGGTTTTAGGCTGGGTTTCTGTATAGCAATTTGTGACATCTGCTGATGTAAAAAGGGCTTTATAAATTGATTCATTGATTGATTGTGTCAAGTTGGCTGGATGTCCTTTGGGTGCTGGACCATTCTTGATACACATGGGAAACTGTTGAGGGTGTAAAGCCCAGCAGCGTTGCAGTTCTTGACACACTCAAACCAGTGTGCCTGGCACCTACTACCATACCCCGTTCAAAGGCATTTAAATATTTTGTCTTGCCCATTCACCCTCTGAATGGCACACATCCACAATCCATGTCTCATTATTGTCTCAAGGCTTAAAAATCCTTCTTTAACCTGTCTCTTCCCCTTCATCTACCGATTGAAGTGGATTTAACAAGTGACGTCAATTAGGGATCATAGTTTTACCTGGATTCACCTGGTCAGTCTATGTCATGAAAAGAGCAGGTGTTCCTAATGTTTTGTACACTCAGTGTATACGAGTTAAAATTAACTATTGTTAATAAGAAAAGAAGGAAAGAAAGAAAATCAAGAAATCAAGAAATCAAAAAAGAAATTAAGAATTAAATAAAAGGCAGGAAGAGAAAGATAGTGGTACAGTACGCGAGGCCGGGGGATGCTGCATCCGTCGGCAGTCTTTGGAAGGAGAGCGGATTTAGCCGGAGGAGGGGTTAGTAGCCCTGCCGAGAGGTTGGACTCTGGTGAGCTCATAGGGGTGAGTGTGACCGAGGAGATCTCAAGACACGAGAAGGACGTCAGATTGTGACACCAGAAGAGCGAGGAGGGCCTTGAGAGCATGTAGGCCTCGTTAGTAGAGTTTATGTGCAGCAGCTGTGAAGACATTGCATGCAGAATAATTAGTGGAAGACTGAAAGTAGCTAGTTAGTTCACACAGAACATGACAGACATCTTATTTTGGGTATTATGAGCTACTTAGGAAAGTCTAGAGACCGGAAGGGATGTCCATGCAGTTCTTACTGGTGGCACAGGAGCAATCATCAACTGCTCCTCCAGATCCGAAAGCTGCTTCTTTAGCTCTGAATTTTCAGTTTCCAGTTCTTGAATCTGCAAAAAAGAAGGATGCTTGTTTTGGAATTGATCCATAGCTATCTACATTCAAAACAGAAAGTAGTGTATATCCAATCCCTATCCCCATAAGGAACAGTCTCTGCCATATCACACTGGTCCAACAGTTGAATCGTACTCTTTTCTGTAAGGTTCCTATCTGTTTCCGTGTCTCCACATCTTTTCCACCAGACTCGAGGAACTTCTTGTAGGCCAAGTCGAACGCCTGGCCAATAGTGAGTGTTATCTCCTCTGCCTGGAAGACAACGGTATCCTCCATGAGTTTTGTGCAAAACTCCTTATAAAATTGTATTTCGAACCGCATAGGAACAATTGTTCTGAACATAATTCGACATTTCCATCTATGATTCACCAGAAACAATTCTTAATTTTAGGTCATTATCTTTATCATTAACTAGGGATTGTTGCATCTACACAGATACCGTGGGACATGAACTCAAGACGTTAACTCTCAAAGTTCGTATTTCTTACACATTTTTCACTGTCAAACACGTAGCAGAGGTGTTTGTTTGACTCTGAGTCTTTACAAATGAAGGTGAATATCCTTTTATCCGTCTTGTCATCTGCACAGAAGGATATCCTATGCAACTGGCAGTTGTACTGGGCATCCTGAAAATAAAAAGAAACACAAATGCTTCGGTTTAAGACAACAATACCTCCTTGATAGCCCTTCACATGAATGCTTCCATAATATGCATAAAAAAACTTTATTAAAAGTATCCATGCCATGTGGACTTACTTTTGTCTTGGGATCTAAGATCTTTACTCCATAAATGGAGATTTGCAATTCCACTTTCGGGGTCTTCTGTCCCTCTGACTTCTTGATATGCCTTTGAAACTACAGAGAGGGGAGAGTAGAAACATTAGAATTAACTTATCAAAGCTACAGTATGATGGTCATGGTACTCCAACTTGCCCTGGCTCATTCTGAAGTGTAGTCTATTATTGAAAGTGGTGAAAGTAATGATATCATCATGATATCATAAAATAATTATAACTAGCCCTATTTACTGAAAAAGGGTCTCCAAAGTAAATTAGAAAATGGCATTCTTCCAACACAGTGCAATACTGATTTGAATTAGGATTAACATAAATTGTGCGATCAGAGCTTTATTTCACACTCATTTTCTGAATACATGATTCTGATTGATCATTCCTGCTATAAAATGCTTTTCACTTATCCACAAAACCCTATAACCAAGTTAGACTGATTAGGGCCATATGACAAAAGCACTTTCATTTACATACAGTGAGGGAAAAAAGTATTTGATCCCCTGCTGATTTTGTACGTTTGCCCACTGACAAAGACATGATCAGTCTATAATTTTAATGGTAGGTTTATTTGAACAGTGAGAGACAGAATAACAACAAAAAAATCCAGAAAAACGCATGTCAAAAATGTTATAAATTGATTTGCATTTTAATGAGGGAAATAAGTATTTGACCCCTCTGCAAAACATGATTTAGCACTTGGTGGCAAAATCCTTGTTGGCAATCACAGAAGTCAGACGTTTATTGTAGTTGGCCACCAGGTTTGCACACATCTCAGGAGGGATTTTGTTCCACTCCTCTTTGCAGATCTTCTATAAGTCATTAAGGTTTCGAGGCTGACGTTTGGCAACTCGAACCTTCAGCTCCCTCCACATATTTTCTATGGGATTAAGGTCTGGAGACTGGCTCCAGGACCTTAATGTGCTTCTTCTTGAGCCACTCCTTTGTTGCCTTGGCCGTGTGTTTTGGGTCATTGTCATGCTGGTATACCCATCCATGACCCATTTTCAATGTGCTGGCTGAGGGAAGGAGGTTCTCACCCAAGATTTGACGGTACATGGCCCCGTCCATCGTCCCTTTGATGCAGTGAAGTTGTCCTGTCCCCTTAGCAGAAAAACAACCCCAAAGCATAATGTTTCCACCTCCATGTTTGACGGTGGAGATGGTGTTCTTGGGGTCATAGGCAGCATTCCTCCTCCTCCAAACACGGCGAGTTGAGTTGATGCCAAAGAGCTCGATTTTGGTCTCATCTGACCACAACACTTTCACCCAGTTCTCCTCTGAATCATTCAGATGTTCATTGGCAAACTTCAGACGGGCCTGTATATGTGCTTTCATGAGCAGGGGGACCTTGCGGGCGCTGCAGGATTTCAGTCCTTCACGGCGTAGTGTGTTACCAATTGTTTTCTTGGTGACTATGGTCCCAGCTGCCTTGAGATCATTGACAAGATCCCCCAGTGTAGTTCTGGGCTGATTCCTCACCGTTCTCATGATCATTGTTATTATTATTATTATCATTGCAACTCCACGAGGTGAGATCTTGCATGGAGCCCCAGGCCGAGGGAGATTGACAGTGCTTTTGTGTTTTTTCCATTTGCGAATAATCGTACCAACTGTTGTCACCTTCTCACCAAGCTGCTTGGCGATGGTCTTGTAGCCCATTCCAGCCTTGTGTAGGTCTACAATCTTGTCCCTGACATCCTTGGAGAGCTCTTTGGTCTTGGCCATGGTGGAGAGTTTGGAATCTGATTGATTGATTGCTTCTGTGGACAGGTGTCTTTTATACAGGTAACAAGCTGAGATTAGGAGCACTCCCTTTAAGAGTGTGCTCCTAATCTCAGCTCGTTACCTGTATAAAAGACACCTGGGAGCCAGAAATCTTTCTGATTGAGAGGGGGTCAAATACTTATTTCCCTCATTAAAATGCAAATCAATTTATAACATTTTTGACATGCGTTTTCCTGGATTTTTTTGTTGTTATTCTGTCTCTCACTGTTCAAATAAACCTACCATTAAAATTATAGACTGATCATTTCTTTGTCAGTGGGCAAACGTACAAAATCAGCAGGGGATCAAATACTTTTTTCCCTCACTGTATGGAGACAACAGAGCGAGAGAGAAAAAGAAGAAGAAAAAAATACTACAATCAGTGTGTTTCAAGTGTGGAGTTCAACATACCAAGAGGCTGAATCCCCAAAATAAGACTATATTCAATGATCTTACCTTGGTCTGACCTGAACTCCACACTTGAGATCCATTGGCAGTGGTGTTAAGGTAAGGTTCAGAAAATAAAGGGAGAAGCACACAAAGAAAGGAAAGAATCAAAAGAGAGATGGGGCAGGGTGAATTGGAGTGTGCTGTACTGATTGGGTCTGGCTTTGACCAATGGTCAACAATATGGCCAATGATGACTCAACTATCATGACCCATTCACTGAACAGCAAAGTGTTCAATACCTTGAAGTAACAAAAGGGTGGATGGGTATGAAAACAAGTTTCCCCTTGAATGGCCTCACAATTGAAATTATTACAGAAGAAAACAGCAGATTAGCTGACATGCTGATAGCAGAATGAGGCAGAGCAAAGGTGATCGGTGGCAGTAAAACTGGCTGAACTCTAGCTGAGGGAAATCTATATTTCTAAAGATTACGAAAATGAGGTTAGCTATAAGTAGCGGTCTTTTTTAGTTGACTAGTAAGTCATTATGATCCATGCTATAGTAAATTCCTGGGTACAACACGCTACATGCTTCTTCTCTCACCCTCAGTCCTCAAAATGAAGGTATAACTTGGAAGATAGTTGCTATTAGTATACCTTGAATTCTGGCTAGAATATACAGTATGGTTACATGTATCTGATTACAGTTAACCACAAAATACTGAGTTTTAGGGTATCAACGTGTGGAAATAAAAACTGACCTAAACGTCTAAGCTGTTGCTGGTGGGCGTAGAGAGGCCCGCCCTGGAGTGCACTTTTCTGTCCAATGAGGTCCAATTTCGGGGACCGTCTTTATACTCACCAGCCCCCCTAGATGAAGAAGTTCTGTAACACAGCTTTAATTCAGGTTTCCAAGGAAATAAAGTATATCACTAACTTACCTTTAACTTTCTAACTGCATCTTTAACAATCTCTGTGCCTTTCGGTTGATCAACTTCTGTGTTTCCAAGAAACTAGAATAAAAAGGGGAAAAAAAAAAAAGTGTCACTTTACTTTAGGCATACAGTTATACAGAATTAAGTCACAATGCACTATAAGACTGTTAAAGTATCTATGAATGCCTTACAATGTCTCTATGTTGTGTATCAAATAAAAAAAGAGGCTTCAGAGTATAGGAGGGTTTGCAGGAATCCCCCCCCCAAAAGGCAGCACTACTGCTGCTATCCAACAGATGGAGCCAATGACCTTTAGACCTAAACTCCATCTGTCTATGAAACAGTTGCTCTCAATATGGCTTGCCTAGTTTAGTAATGAGACTCTGTACTCTCCCCGTTAGTGTCTCCCAATGTAATGGCACCAGTCTGTTTCAACATGATTTGGGAGTAATATCAAATAATACAACGATTTAAGGTTTCCTAAGATTTTTCATTCATCAACATAATGAGATGCAACAATTGTTTCAAAATTCAAGCCATGGACATCAGTGGTTCTGCCCATACTGTATACTGGTCTCTGACATTATATCCACTTACCTCCTTCATGATTTAATTCCGCTACAGAACACACAGTGGGTACACAATGGGCAAACAATGCCAAAAATCTGGCAAACGATGCCAAAAATGGCACTTCACGCTCCTATCAATAGAGCGTAAAGATGGATGGGCCTGTATTCAAATGGTGTCAGCATTTGCACCGCCGTGACAAATGCTGTCCGCACTCAAGGACACATATGAGCGCAGCCGGGTTCTGCAAGTGGATGCAGCAAATGACAGATATGCTACATGGGATGGAGTGAGTCTCGTTCCTGACCTATGCATTCTGTTCTGCTGGACTGTAAAGGCTGTTCCACTGTCTAAGCCCAGCCTGTGGTGATCCATCACCTTGGGAAGGTTATTGGCAAAGGTACTGTTCCCTGCTGCCCCTCACTCCCATCCACTGCCTGATGTTATGTTTGCTCTCCTCTCTGCTGTTCCAGTCTTGAGCGGCAGCAGATGTGTCAGTTTGGACTTTCTACTTTAGCCTTTTTTCGCTTCACTTCAATAAGACATCTCGGGAGCTGCTGGATGTTCACTGACAGGCGCTCTGCCTCCAATATGAGGGGAGTCTTTGGGTGAAGCAGAGCAGAAAACACCTCTAGACGGGAGACTTTCTTTCCGGGAGGTTTCCTTTAAGATGTGTGCCGCATAACAAAGACAGAGAAGACTAAACAAATCAGTTGTTTTGTAATGGTCTGTGGGTTTCCAGTCAGAATCTACTGTTGTGTTTACTTTGCAGTCAGTCAGGAAGTTTTTATAGGCTGCCTGTGTGTGTGTTTGCTCTTTGACTGTAGTGTGAAGCAGACACCTTGTTCAGAGCTAGGAAAAACTCAATAGCTTCATATTGAAAGGGTTTTATTTTTGACAAAGCCATAGTCAAAACTATGTATAACAGAAAACTATCAGAGAACTATTCCCAAGTAAACATGACTTTTTCAAAGCCTTGGTAGGTGTGAGACCTGTCAATAGGTATGCATGGTGGCATGCTGAACATCAATCTGAATCAGTGAAAGGTAAAAACTTCCAAAACCTGTGAGGGAACATGATCTTGATTGTTTTAGAAAGGCAGATCATGATACGTACCTTGGCATTGTAGGGTACGTAATGCTTTGCCAGCGCTTCTGGAGTGTGCATCCAGGATTTATCTGAAAAGAGATATCACAGTTGGGTCTCATGTCACTTAAAAATAGAACAATTGTGTTTAAAGTCATTAATCTTTTAAATTGATATACATCAAAGTTCTTTATTTTCTTATATTTAAAGAATGAATCAAGAGAATCTAAGACAAATCCAAACAAAATAAATGTAACTTTAACCATCTTTGGAAACAGCTACCGCCAACTTAAAGTTATTGGAATTACATTGTAAAGGCAGTCGAAGAATGAAATTATTTAAGACGATTATTCATAACTGGGGCTCAGCCGCCGAAGCTCCTAAATCTAAATCTCTCCAGCAACTGAGTTAGGAAGGACGCCTGTATCTTTGTAGTGACTGGGTGTATTGATACACCATCCAAAGTGTAATTAATAACTTCACCATGCTCAAAGGGATACCCAATGTCTGCTTTTTTATGTCTGACCTACCAATAGGTGCCCTTGTTTGCGAGGCATTGGGAAACCTCCCTGGTCTGTGTGGTTGAATCTGTTTTTGAAATTCACTGCTCGAGTGAGGGACCTTACAGATAATTGTATGTGTGGGGTACAGAGACGAGGTAGTCATTCAAAATCATGTTAAACACTATTATTGCACAGACAGTGAGTCCTTGCAACTTATTATGTGACTTGTTAAACACATTTCTACTCCTGAACTTATTCAGGCCATAACAAAGGTGTTGAATACTTATTGACTCAAGACATTTCAGCTTTTCATTTTTTATTAATAAAGAAAAAAACATAATTCCACTTTGACATTATGGGGTATTGTGTGTACGCCAGTGAAAACAAATCTCAATTTAATCCATTTTAAATTCAGGCTGTAACACAACAAAATGTGGAAAAAGTAAAGGGGTGTGAACACTTTCTGGAGGCACTGTATGAATGAAGCGCATAACAATTATACAGCTGACCCATCTGCTAAGCAGTGACACAGCACTAGCTCTATCCATAATCACCATACTACTTATCATCAAAGAGTGAATGAGTGAGATCAATCTCCTGGTAGTGTTCTCAGGGTAGTGCTAAGCGATATGTTATCAAACAACTTATTGACTGAATTTGGTTCAATTACTTGAATTCCATTTAGTTTGTTTTTAGGTGAGCTCAATGCGCTGTTTCTCTAGAAATCAAATAATTCACAAGATAAATTAAGTCAAGAGGTATGTAGGTCGGCGGGCTGAAGGGAGTTGTTGTTTTCATTAAGCAAATATTCAACCTAGTTCAGCGCAGAAAGGTGGTAATTAACTACAATGACCATAATCCATTGTGCCTGTTCTTCCCGGCTTGGACAGAGACTGAGCCTACACACAGACCGCATGTGAGAGGAATGTACACAACACAACAATGAAAGTTATAGAGACAGTTCGTAAGGTAGCTCTACCCGATTGTAGGTGTAGTAGTTGGTAATAAGCAGTCTTGAAAGTATGCCTTCTGTATTTTGAAGAACTAGTCAAATGATTTTGTAAGACAGCTCTGCAGCATACTAGCTAAGTAGGATGATTCAAAGACTGTATGGGGAGCACAGAGATAATGTTAGATGGTTGTTTGGTTGACTGGCTGCTACTGCCTGAGCAGAGATGAGATGACCAAAAAAATATTTAAAATAATAAAGTAGTCAAATAAAACTAAGTAATATACACAACTTAAATATTATATTATTTCATAGTAATTTCTTCTCTTTCTATTGATGTTTACCCAACGTGGACCTGACAGAGACAATGGAAAGTTCTCAGTATTTTGTCAATTGAATGTTCACTATTTTGGGCTTTGAAATTTCCATTAAAAAGCTCTAAAATCTTTTGAATGTAATTATTTAATAATGCATTGAATGTTGTAAAAAAAAAAATTGAAACCGAAATCGAAAACCGTGATAATATTTTCAGAACCAAACCGAAACCGACTTAAAAAAGCACTAACCCCCCCTCGCTAAGGAACTGTAAATTCTAACTACGATGAATTGGGGCAGGTCCAGCAGTCACTGCAGCAGAGAAGGCAGGAAGCCCAGCCACATTTTCTATACGTCAGCACCCAGTCTTGATTAATAGAGGCGTCCCCACCTCTCGTGCCCACTTGATATAAAACTGCAAAAGGCGGACTGTACAGTGACACAAAAAATTGACTGGCACCGGGGGGAAACAAGTAGACGGGAGAAATAAAGCGCTGTGGGCATGAGAGGATGTGTCTGAGAGTGTGAAGGTCAGTTTAATGTGGCATGTGTGTCCTGAACAGTCTGAATCAGTGACAGCTTTAAGGTTACATGTCATGTCGAAAGAGGTGCCTGATGGAGACTACAGGGGATGGAGACTACAGTGGATGGAGACTACAGGGGATGATGTATCTCAATGCTTCACCACTACAAAAAAACTAACTGAGCATATACATATAGCTAGCTTGACTGCCTATAAAGCACCACACAAGTAAAGAGATGATACAGTAATACAGCACTGGATTAAAATAGTATCTGTTTTCTTTCAAATATTTTTGATATGCTTTATTGAGCTTCCCTGGCACAATGACACCACTGTAATAGTCCCAATAATACAAACCCTGCCCATCTGGCACTCCAGACCCGCTCAATCAAACATATTTCAAAGTATTTGAAAGTAATCAAACAATAATAGTTCCGGCGTGGTCAAACGTTTTGAGAATGACACAAGTATTAGTCTTCACAAAGTTCGCTGCTTCAGTGTTATGAGATATTTTTATCAGATGTTACTATGGTATACTGAAGTATAATTACAAGCATTCCATAAGTGTCAAAGTATTTTATTGACAATTACATTACGTTTATGCAAAGAGTCAATATTTGCAGTGTTGACTCTTCTTTTTCAAGACCTCTGCAATCCGCCCTGGCATGCTGTCAATTAACTTCTGGGCCACATCCTGACTGATGGCAGCCCATTCTTGCATAATCAATGCTTGGAGTTTGTCAGAATTTGTGGGTTTTTGTTTGTCCACCCGCCTCTTGAGGATCGACCACAAGTTCTCAATGGGATTAAGGTCTGGGGGGTTTCCTGGCCATGGACCCAAAATGTCGATGTTTTGTTCCCCGTGCCACTTAGTTATCACTTTTGCCTTATGGCAAGGCGCTCCAACATGCTAGAAAAGGCATTGGTCGTCACCAAATTGTTCTTGGATGGTTGGGAGAAGTTGCTCTCAGAGGATGTGTTGGTACCATTCTTTATTCATGGCTGTGTTCTTAGGCAAAATTGTGAGTGAGCCCACTCCCTTGGCTGAGAAGCAACCCCACACATGAATGGTCTCAGGATGCTTTACTGTTGGCATGACACAGGACTGATGGTAGCGCTCACCTTGTCTTCTACGGACAAGGTGTTTTCCGGATGCCCCAAACAATCGGAAAGGGGATTCATCAAAGAAAATGACTTTAACCCAGTCCTCAGCAGTCCAATCCCTGTACCTTTTGTAGAATATCAGTCTGTCCCTGATGTTTTTCCTGGAGAGAAGTGGCTCCTTTGCTGCCCTTCTTGACACCAGGCCATCCTCCAAAAGTCTTCGCCTCACTGTGCGTGCAGATGCACTCACACCTGCCTGCTGCCATTGAAGTTCTTGATGATCCGATAAACAATTGATTTAGGTGCAATCTTACTAGCAGCAATATCCTTGCCTGTGAAGCCCTTTTTGTGCAAATCAATGATGACGGCACGTGTTTCCTTGCAGGTAACCATGGTTAACAGAGGAAGAACAATAATTTCAAGCACCACCCTCCTTTTAAAGCTTCAAGTCTGTTATTCTAACTCAATCAGCATGACAGAGTGATCTCCAACCTTGTCCTCGTCAACACTCTCACCTGTGTTAACGAGAGAATCACTGACATGATGTCAGCTGGTCCTTTTGTGGCAAGGCTGAAATGCAGTGGAAATGTTTTTTGTGGATTAAGTTCATTTTCATGGCAAAGAGGGACTTTGCAATGAATTGCAATTCATCTGATCACTCTTCATGACATTCTGGAGTATATGCAAATTGCCATCATCAAAACTGAGGCAGCAGACTTTGTGAAAATTAGTATTTGTGTCATCAGCCCCATGTAGCTCAGTTGGTAGAGCATGGCGCTTGCAACGCCAGGGTTGTGGGTTCGTTTCCCACGGGGGGCCAGTATGAAAATGTATGCACTCACTAACTGTAAGTCGCTCTGGATAAGAGCGTCTGCTAAATTACAAAAATGTAAATGTAATTATCAAAACTTTTGACCACGACTGTACATCAAAGCTAGTGCTTTGTGTGAAATTAAAACAAGCACATTGTTTTCAGAACTACAGTTAGTAGTAAAGCCTTTCGCAGTTCCAGACGGACCAAGCCCTAGTCTGAGCTCATTATCTCCCCTCTATATACATTCACTTTAATGAATTACACAGGTAATGCTATCTGGGACGGCAGCAATTCATCGCTCATGGGCCAGGCTAGCCATTGCCAGCACTCGGCTCTTACAGGAAAACAATGTCCAATTAATCTCCAATTTGTCTCGTTTAGAGTTCAGCTGGATCGATCAAAAGGCTCCGGGGGACTAAAGTCTAAAATACCTCCAGCAGTATTTAAAGCCTCTAGATATCCTTTTTAATTAAATGAAGCGGACAGATACAAATGGTTAAACATTAAGGATAAAATAAAATACAATGGATCTCCAACAATCTCCTCCAACACAATGCAATACAATGATGAGGGGAGCGTACTTGCCAGTGAATGGGACTCAGAGTGGAGACCGTCCTTGTGTTCCTTTTGCACTTAGATTTCCAACCATCATCACCTTGAGGGTAATGACGATACTGAGAATTTTGCCTCAACAGTCGATGATGATTTCGTATTTATGTTGCACTGATTTCAAGGCCATTTTGAATCATATTTAGACCTTTTCTAGACATTTTCAACATATGTTGTTTGTTGAAGCTACAAGAGTAAAGCCTTCCATTATCCCAAAGGTTACTCATCATCATCCTTCCAGAGGATGACTCAAAGGTCAGACTG